CTCGTGTGTGTGTGTGTGTGTGTGTGTGTGTGTGTGTGTGTATGTGTGAGGAGGTCATTGTTCATGCTCAGGTACGAGTTCTCAGGTGTCCTTCTCTCTTGTATCTTGAGACAAGGTCTCTCACTGGGTCCTGGAATCCACTGATTAGGGCTGGCTAGGGAGCACGAGGGATCTTCCTGTGGCCACTCATCTACACAGAGCTGGGATTAGAAGCACACATCCTGGGGAGAGGGTCTGAGGATGGACCTCCAATCCTCACAGAGCACTTTACTGACTGAACTATTGGCCCAACAGAACCCAGGCACCTTGGAAGGCAAAGGAAGGCTTTAGGGCCAGCTGCCCTTAGGAGGGAAGGACCTAGGACAGAGTGACCAGAAAGCAAGGTGGCTTTCTCCTGGGGTCAACTGGGCATGTGCTCAGCCTCAAATGCCAGCATAGTGTAGGAGGATTGGGAAGATTTCAAGCCACTCCTGTGCCGACTCTTTGCTGGAAGCCTAATGAACACGGGGCAGGGAGAAACTTAGAGGCATGCGTTGGTACTTGCTCTCAACAGCTGGGCTTTCGAACCTGTGGCCACCACCACATGAGTGAGTCTTGCCTGACCTTCAAGAGCATGGGAGAGCACACTGAGCTGCAACAAGCCCAGCCATGGCCTCCCTAGACTTAGTTTCACAATCTCACTCTTGATTGAGGATGACGTGTTTCTCTGCACTGGTGGATGGTTCTGTGAGGTATGGGGCATTTGGCAGCCTCAGCCTCCACCCACTGTCTGATTAGTGGCATCGCCTGTGGTTAAGAACCGCTGCCCTAATCCACTGATCTGCCAGGAACCAGACATATAAACAAGGCCACCTGTAATCAACCAGGGTAGATGGCAGAGACTTGGCCTCTCTTGACCTGTGCAATCATGAGACATAGTATTTGTCGTTTTCAGTGACCAAGTTTTGGGTTGTTTGTTCCGGAGCAGACACACACCTGACTACATTGGCTTCAGTGTGTGGGGTCGAGCAAAGTCCAGGCAGGGCTTAGAGCTCACAATGCCACAAAACCCTCTTCTCTTCTGCTCTATTGTTACTGAAAGGGGGGTTTTTCCTTCTGTTTCAGAAGCAAAGCCCTCCAAGGACTCTGATGTCTGTGTCAATGTCCAGGTCTGTATAGTATATTCTAGCTGCAAGGGAGGAGGGAAAACCAAGACATTTAGCTTCTAGCTGCACTGCAGAGGAAGGAGATGACCACACAGTGACTAAGCAGAGATAGGATCTGCTCCCCAGTGGCTTCTCTCTGTACTGTCCCCATACTAGCTCTCTGGGCTTCTGAGGCTTCTTGCCTCTCTCTTCTGGCTTTCCTTTTCAGAGGATCAGCTCTTCCTTTCTCTGAATGCAAGTGGGAGCCTGGCTGCCCCAGCCTTGGGATTGTATTACCATTCATCTCCAGCTCACTGATGACCTGGATGGCAGGCATCTCGGTGTCCACTTCCAAATGCCAAGAACGAAGGTGCTGAAGGACCCAGCTTGAACTGGGAGGGAGTCAGGTTGGTTATAACCAGTCTGCTATGCTTGAACTAGGAGGGAGTCAGGTTGGTTATAACCAGTCTGCTATGCTTGAACTGGGAGGGAGTCAGGTTGGTTATAACCAGTCCACTACCTGCTGCTGATGCAGTAAATCTGACGTGAGTTGCTGCCCCGGGGAAGGCAGGTGTCAGGAAGAGAGGTCAGTTGTAAAGGTGAGAAAAGAAATATTACTATGTCTCTTCCCCACCCTTCATTCCTTTTTCCCTCCCTCCTCTCCTCTCTCTTTCTTTCTTTCTTTCTTTCTTTCTTTCTTTCTTTCTTTCTTTCTTTCTTTCTTTCTTTCTTTCTTCCCTTTCTTTCCTTCCTTTCTTTCCTTTTTTCTCTCTTTGGTGCTGGGGAAGGAGCCTAGAGTCTTGTCCATCTCTCTACTACAGAGCCACATCCCAGTAACCACACAACTTTCTCTTTCTTTCTTTCTTTCTTTCTTTCTTTCTTTCTTTCTTTCTTTCTTTCTTTCTTTCTTTCTTTCTTTCTTTCTTTCTTACTTTCTTTGGTTTTTTGAGACAGGGTTTCTCTGTATTGTTTTGGAAGTTGTCCTAGAAATTCAAAGCAACTTACAAATTTATCTCAGAAAAGTTTCCCCCAAATGTCTAAGTTAAAGAGAATGACTTTTTAAATAATTATATTTAAGCAACTAAAAACAGTAGGAAGAACAATAGCTTTCTTTCTTTCTTTCTTTCTTTCTTTCTTTCTTTCTTTCTGAGACAAGGTCTTTCTACATAGCTCAGGCTGGCCTTGAACTTACTACATAACCCAGGCTTCACTTTATTCTTGCAATCCTCCTGCACCCACCTCCTGAGTGCTGGGATCATGTTCATGTCCACCATCCTGGCTAATATGGCCCTTGAATAATCTGAACTCCAATAGATTCCTACAGGCATATATTCAACTCATGCAAAAAAACAATAACAAACAAACAAAAAAACAAACAAAAAACACTGTGTTTACATGTTTTGGTTCTCAGGCATGATCCAGCAAGCAGCTCTGACTGCAGCTTAACTTAATGACCTGGATGAAAACTTGATGTTTGGGAGTTGGAGGACAAGGGCCAGTAAAATCAATTTGAAGGCCCAGTTCAAAATGGTGTGTGTGTGTGTGTGTGTGTGTGTGTGTGTGTGTGTGTGGGAGAGAGAGAGAGAGAGAGAGAGAGAGCTTGTATGCATGTGTGTGTATTTGATGTGTGCATATGTGTGTGGATGTGAACACTTATGTATGTACTCATGAGGAAGCCAGAGAAGGCTGTTGGTATCTCATTCTATCACTTTTCACTAAGACAGGGTCTGAACTGGCGGCCAGCAAGTCCCAGCAATCCTCCTGTCTCTTTCTACTCTCATCATTGTGGTTGTAGGAGAGTATACAGACACACCTGGCTTTTTACATGGGTACTGGGGCTTTGAACTCAGGTCCTCATGCTTGAGCACTGAGCCATCTCCTCAGCCTCCCCCTTGTGAAACAAACTCTCAAGTTTGGCTGTCCTCAAACTTGCTAAGTGCTTGGGGATGACCTTGAACTCCTGCCCCACTTCCCCTAACCCTGGAGTGCTGGGATCACAGGCATGGCTCAGCTCAGGTTCTACACACACACACACACACACACACACACACACACACACACAGTTTTGGAGATTTTTTTTTTTAAAGCTTTTAAAAAAATTGTTAGGTTGTTGTTTGTTGCTTATGAGCATTATGTGTATGCAGTGGCCTGTGGAGGCCAGAAGAGGGCGTCAGATCTCTCGGAGCTGGAGTTACAGGTGGCTGTGAGCTGCCTTGCCAGTGCTGGGAATGAAACCTGGGTCATTAAAAAGCTGCCGGTGCTCTTTACCACTGGGCATCTCTCCAGCCTTTCAGGAGCATTTTTAAGGTCAAGTGAAGTTCATTGTTGGGGGCGAAATCTCCGGGCTTGTCATGAGATCCTAGTTCCATGCTTGGCAGGCCACATAGTTAACCTTTACATAGCAGCTCCTTAGAACCTCAGCTCAAGAAAAGAAACAACCTGACCCAGTCCTCCACCCTCAGGCTCAGTCACCTATGCAACCCTCCCTGGGCCTCTTACTCATGAACTCTTTACCCTGCCAAACATCCTCTTTGTGGCTTCCTAATATCCTGCCTATACCAACAGCTGGTGCACAAGCAACCCGTTCTACCCCTCCCCATATCCTGCTCTGCTGACTATATAAGCTAGCCTGAGAAAAGTAAAGTTTGCCACTTGACCAGAATCCTGTCTTATGGTTGTTCTTTCTGTGTCTCTTGTTCCCCATTCCCTATCCCGGACTCTCTTGCCCCAGGTTGATGTCCTGCATGTCGGGACAGTTCATCTTTCTGGTTTTGGATGTACACATCATGGAATACCACATAAAGAGTTTCTCCTAGGGCTGGAGAGATGGCTCAGAGGTTAAGAGCACTGGCTGCTCTTTCAGAGGTCCTGAGTTCAATTCTCAGCAACTATATGGTGGCCCACAACCATCTATAGTGGGATCTGATGCTATACATAAAGTCATACATGCAGACAGAACACTCATATGCATAAAATAAATAAATATAATAAACAAACAAAAAAAGAATTTCTCCTATCTTCCCCAAGTTTTAACAAGTAGAATACATTTGGTTTTAGAATACATGTTAGCTTTAATTGTCAATTTGACACAACCTGGAGTCACTGGGGAAGAGAGTCAAAAGGAGGGTTGGTCTATTTTGATTTGGTCTGTGGGCATAGTTATGGGGCATTGCCTTAACTAAGTCAGTTGATGTGAAAAGGCCCAGCCCACTGTGGGCGGTATCATTCCCTAGGCAAGGGTATGTGAACTGTATGCAAGTGGAGAAATGAATCTATGTAGAAGCAAACAAGCAAGCATGCATTCTTTTCTCTCTGCTTTTGACTGCTGGTGTGATGTGACTAGCTGTTTGAGGTTCCCGCCTTGACCCCCCCCAAATGAGTTGAAACGAACCCCTTTATTCCCTAAGTTTCCTTTTTAGCCCGGGTATTTTATCATAGCATCAGAAATGAAACTAAACTAGAACAGAATATGAAAATATTTTTATCGTGGCTTTTAAAAATAAACAACAACAACAAAAACCAATCTATTCTGTGCCTTTTGGCCCCTTCTCCATCTAGGTATGGCTGGCTTCAAGGCCAAGAAAGAATGAAAGTGATGAGAGGCCAGGTGGGTAGACAGAAGGCAGGGTACCAAAGAAGAAACTGGAGTCTCTGAACACCATGGAAATGGAGTGCATGTTCTTTGGTGACCAAGTCCTTGGTCTATCCTGTAGCCAGAGACTGGGAAGACGAGGGTCACTCAGTCCAGCAGAATGGAAGTTGTGATAGAATTAGAAACCTGGCTTCTGAGCCCAGCTCCTGAGTTTCCTAGCTGAGTGACTGTAGGTAGGGCTGTCAACCTCTCTGGGGCTCGGCATCCTGGTCTGTGAAATGGAGGAATGAGGGGCTTGGGGAAAGGATTAACTGAGAAGTGTTTTGAGAACTACACAGTACTGTAGAAATGCCGACAGGATTACAGAAGCGATGTGCTTGATTGGCATTCTAAATTTATTATAATAAACACAGATATAAATTCATTCTACTGTAGCCAAGTGCCACAAGATTCCCCTTTGCCCTGTGGCTCTAGTTGGAGGAACTGATGCTTAGGTACATTGTAACCCAAATTTGAACCACACAACTGTATCCACAAGGCTAGGAGTTTGGGTTATGAACGTATTCTTCATATATCTGCATGTATATACATTTATAGATATTAAAAAAACCCCTCCACACAATGCAAAATACATTCTGTGCAAAATATCAATCTAGAAAGCCCCCCCAAACACTCAAGCAACCATCTTAAAGTGCTTGCTATAAAAGTCCCTCGGTTTCTGCAGAGTCATGTGAGGCCCCGGGACAGTGTGTTTTCTAGTTCTTTCCACTCAGTTTAACAATTGAAAGACTGTGGATAGGCTTGTATGCCTCCTTCTTTGCCTCTTTTTCTTGGCCTGTCTTCGGGGTGGCTTTCTTGGCTCCAACCTTCAGTGAATAAAAAGAACAAATATACAAAATTTATCAATACAGTCAGGGCCTCAAACGGCCTATGCATTTTTTTAAAAAAAGGTTTGTTTTATAGGTGCGTGCATGCGTGCGTGCGTGTGTGTGTGTGTGTGTGTGTGTGCATAAACAGCATCTAGTCCTTTCCTTTGGTTTTTACAGGACATCCATCTCTGCTTCTATCTACACAGCTCCCCTTAGTGGGTAGATGGAACCACAGTTCCAGAAGCCCTCTGGCACATGGCTCTCTGTGTTCTGTAGATACCGTGGCCCCTTGAGTGCCTATCTAACAGGATGCATGCTTCCTGCTGTCTCCTACTCATATTTGACTCCAGACATTAGTCGACATACACACTGAGGCAAAGAGGAGCTGGTTGATATGGTGACTTTCAGCTGCCACTATACGACCCCCTCTCCCCCAGGCTGTGGGGCACGTCTCCCTCAGAGACTGTGGAGTCATCCTGGGAATGTTTATTATTTTTTAAACACATCTTATTTATTTGGGTGTGCATGCATTCATGGACACGTGTGTGCATGTGTTTACATGTGTGTGCATATGTGTGCATGCCATGCATATAGTCAGAGTACAACATGCAGGAGTCTGTTGTCTCTACCTTGTGAGTACCGGAGATTAAAGTCAGGTCACGGGGCTTGGTATCAAGTGGAAATATCTTAACAGGAACACTATCTCTTCATCTCTTTGTGTTTTAGGCCAGCTTTGAAATTAGCCTCAGAAGGCCCAGACCAGTGGCAGATGGGAGCCTTAAATGTTTGTTTTGTTTGAAGTAATTGAATTATTTTATGTGTATGAGTGTTTTGCTTGTAAGGATGTATGTGTACCTCATGCATGCCTGAAGCCTGCTAAGGTCAGTAGTGGGTGCTGTATGCCCTGGAACCGGAGTTACAGATGATTGTGAGCCACCAAGTGGGTGCTGAGAATTGAACCCAAATGTTCTGCAAGAGCAACAGGTGCTCTTCACCCCTGAGTCAACTCACCAGTCCCTTGTTTCATTTTTCAAAGACAGGATCTTATGTAGTCCAGGCTAGCCTTGAATTCCTGATCCTCCTGCTCATACCTCCCAAGTGCTGGGATTACAGACATATTCTACATACCATGCCCAGCCCTTGAATATGTTGTAAAAATCAGAATTCAGAATCTGTTCAAGGGAGAAAAGCCTGCACAGCCAGCCACTCATCCACTATTGACCTGACACCCAGGGAGGAAGAAACCAGACAGCAACTAAGATGCTCTTCCCTCAGCGAGGTCTTTCCTTCCTGCTTCTCTCACTGGAGTTTCCAATAAAACTGCCACCTGCAGATGGTTCCCAAAATGTCACTGCCCCAACTTTTTGTGGCACCTGAGCCAGAAAGGTGCTTATTAAAAATACAGACCCAGACCCAGGTGGTGCCACCCCCATGTCTGCCAAGAGAAGAGAAAGAAGGGACTTTTTGGTATCTGTTTGACAGGACAAGGGGAGGAGCAGCAAAAGGGGGATTCGTCCATTGACCTGGGTAGAGGAGGTAGCTGCCAGCTTTGGACCGGCTGATGTAAGCAGGAAAGGGGGGAGTCCTGGCAGAGCCCAGCCTGACAAGGCCTACAGACAGATAGCACCCAGCTTGAGAATTTGCAATCACAGACCACACCCTAAGGGACAGAACCCAGTCTGCAACAGTGCTGCCCAGGTAGAAATTATACACTGGGATGACTTTTTCTGGCAAACCACAAAGCCCAAGCCTTTCCCAAGCAGCTATGGGTGCCTTAGCCATCTCACCACAGACCACTGTGGCCTCCCCCTGGGTGGGACCCCTCGAAAGAGGCTCTGGAGCTCTGCCTACTGACCTTTGCCTTCCCAGCACTTTGACCAAAGTAATTATTAGCCCTTGTATTTGCTTAACAACAACAACAACAACAAACAAACAACAACAAGGCTAAGCAAGAAAGGCAAGGATTTTTATGAGTGTTCTGGTCTGGTTCCCTTGTGAACCCTTCATTATTATCCCTTGTTGACATTGTGAATGTCTTTCACTAAGCCCTCTCAAGTATAAGAAAATGTTATGTATGTTATTCATGTGTGCATATATGTATTATGCATGTGCATACACACACACACACACACACACATATATGTATATGTATGTATGCCAGTGTTAAGGAAGTTTGTATTTTAGATCTTTAGATCAGGGATGCCCAGCCCATGCAGGTGCATATGTGCATGCATGCATGCATGTATGTCTATGTTTGGTGTATGTGATTTATACATAAAGAATTCATGTCTGCTCCTTTCCAGGTGGCATTGCCCCTTTGGGGATGTATGATTAACCTCCACACCTGCCCTAACCTGCTCATGTCTGTCACAGGGTGGAACCTGGTGGTTTGAGCTTCCTATTCCATGCTTAACAGTAGCCCAGCCTAGGGAATCAGCAACTCTCTAGGAAATGTTTTAGAACATAGAAAACTAGAAACATGCCTATTTGGTATCCAGCCCACAAACAATGACAAAAGACTGTTGGCTGCAAAGGAAAGAAAAGCAGCCTATGGCAGTTTGGAGGGCAGAAGACAAAGGCCATGGGGCCTTGATAAGTGGAGGCCCTTCTGAAGCTATTAGGGGGGCTTATGAGTGGGTAACCCTGGAAAGGCCTTGACAGGCCCCATCTCTTTCCAGGAAGTCATGCTGACTCTATCTCCCTTGGGATTCCAGGCGTGCTAGGGAGGGGACCCAGCAAAAATTTGCAAGAAGCCTGGAGCAAAGCGTTCTGCATCATTGAGTCCTAGACCACAAACCCTGAGGCGATGCCTTCATGGCTGGGAAATGAGATCACCGCCCTCCTAGCAGAAGTTCATGTTGTCCCATTCTCTGCAGACCAGAGGAGGGTGCCTGACATTCCTGGGTCTTCTGATCAGAGAATCACGGTGTTCTGTGACATCTGGGTCCCCTAGACATCTTTGTCTGTTACATCCTCAGGTGGTTCTCAGACAAAGCCTAGCTGAGTCTCTCCCATGTTTATGGATGAATGACAAGGCAAAGGTCATTTTTTTATAGCAGGCAAAGGTCTCAGATCTAAGGGACCCCCAGGACACTCTCTGTCCTCTCAACACCTACCTCTGTTTAGTTTTGGGATAAAGATCTTGAAGAAGAGACTTTTGATCTTTAAGAATGTCCCTTATGGCTGGGCGGTGCTGGCACATGCCTTTAATCCCAGCACTTGGGAGGCAGAGGGAGGTGAATCTCTGTGAGTTCAAGACCAACCTCGTCTACAGGGCAAGTTCCAGGACAGCCAGAGTTGTTACACAGAGAAACTCTGTCTTGAAAAAACCAAAAGTCCCATATGACCAAGCATGGTGCCATATGCCTCTATACTGGGAGACAGAATCAGGCCTGGTATACATAGTGAGTTCTAGGCCAGCCAAAGCTACACAGTGAGACCCTGTGTAAAAAAATAAAAAAGTCCTTCATTTAGAATATATGTTTTTTCCAATGTTAATTTTGATGGTTTAGAATAATGTTGCCTTTCAGGGACCCAAGGCACAAGAGACAGAAATTATGGGGACACTAAAGGGACGGAAGCCTCTCATCTGAGGTCTGAAGTGGAGACGCAAGAATCTAGCACAGTTAACCCTTATTATAAAGGCTACTGACTACAGTCAATAGTCCTCCCATGTATAGACATTTAATGTAAAAGCAGCTAGAAGCCTGAGTGTGTCTGACCCTGGGTGGATCTCATGCTTTCCCCAGACACTGCCTACAACTCTCACATAAAATTAACTCTATTAAAGCAAGAGAAGCCTACAGTCCTGCACCCCTATCGGCTAGACTTCAACCTTATCAACTGTAATCCTGTCATTTGCCCCTCAGGGACCAAGCAGTGATAAGACAGTCAATTCAAACACCACCCAGATCCTCCATATGCCTACCATAAAACAGGGAGAGCCTTGACTCTCCCCTGAGGAGCCCACACCCACACTTGGGTGTGTCTGACCTAACGCTTGTGCGGAAGCCTATATGAAAATATCTGGAATAAAATCTAAAATCTCCAACTTAGCGTTATAAACTGGCCCTGCCCTGAAATGCTTTTCATCACTGATGAAACCTGAAAGTCGAGGTCCCTGAAGTTCAAGAGAGCTCCCCAGGCTGTCGAGGGTGACAGTGTGTGTGTTTGTGTGTGTCTGTGTATGTGTGTGTATGTATATATATGTGTGTGTGTGTGTGCATGTGCATGTGTGTGTGCGTGCACATGTGTGTCTGTATGTGTGTGTATGTGTGTGTGTGTGTCTGTGTATGTATATGTGTTCGTGCGCATGCACCTGTGTGTGTGTGCACATGTGTGTGTGCGCGCGCGCGCGTGCGCATATACAAGTGGTGTGTGTGTGTGTGTGTGTGTGTGTGTGTGTGTGTGTTTGAGCACTAGGGAGATCAGGCTGTGTTGGGGGTGTTATGCCTCCATCTGTTCCCCTGAAAATGCCAACAGATTTATCTCCCTTTTCATGTACCAAGGAAGTGTGTCTCACCTCAGGCTTCCAGAAGTTTGCCTCTGCTTTCAGCAAGGCAGAATGCAGATTGGGGCAATTCCAGGAAGGGCTGGGTTGCAACTGCGATGGTTCAGTATATTTAAAATGTCATAGTCTTGAGTCTTATCTCTTAAAAAAGAATATTTTAGACGGCGTTCTCTCAGAATTTGAGAGAAATTCTTACCTGAACTGTGGTAAGTTTGCAGCCTGGAACACCTACTACGTCCCACCTGCACTGGGCTCCACGGAGGACTCTTCGTTAACTGTGTGACTGGGGACACCTCAGCCTCAGAGCCTCAGACCCATCCTTTGTGGGCTAGGTTAGCCCCTGCCCCAGAGGTGAGTGAGATGTGGTGCCAACACCAAAAGCTAACCGTTTCCTCTCTTCCTGGCTCACCTGGAGACTTGAGTTCTGCATCTTGTTCTTGGCCGTCTCTACACACATGCGTCTCTTCAATACAGAAAGGATAGTGACAGCATTTAGTTTAGACCCACACTGCCTTGTATGTCAAAGAGGAATGTGTTCTTCTCTATTTTAAGATGCTGTTCATTCAGAATGTTTGGCCCATTTTGTGTGGGGGGGCAGGAAGTGACACATTGGCTTGCAGTGTGTGTGGGGGGTGCTGCCTTAGGGGGGCTCCTGCATAGCCGCTTAGGGACCTCTGCTTAGATTATAGTTAGGAGTCCACCCGCTGGCTGAGGGCTCCCCCAGAGAACAAGACACTTCTCAGGGGACAAAGCTGCCTCTGCTGGTGGCAGAGCCTTGCAGTACAGGGGAACGGAAGGCTCAGGGCTCCACACAGTGCAGGTGTAAGGACCACAGTGGATGCCCTGCTCTCTGGGGATCGCCCGTTGGGAAGCCACTGTCACCCTAGTCTGGCAGGCTGTTCGGATTCAGGAGTGTTGGCCCTGGGTCTTCCAGACCCTACTTAGGGGTAATTTCTAGGAGAGAGACCCTTCAGAGGTTCAGGGGTGCCAGGGAGAGGGAGTAAGCTGGGGCCTCCTGTTCAGATGTCAGCAAATAAACCCAAGGTGCTGTTAGGGAGAGGGAGCTCCCAGAGAGCTCTCAACACAGTGGGTTACAAAGACCAACACCTTCAGAGTTCTGGATGGAAGACCAGGAAGAGAGGCTGGGTGAGGTATGAACCAGGATCCTGGGTCCTTCTTAAATTACCAGTTGTTGCAGAGGGTGTGGCCCTACAGTGGAGCTCGTTCCTGGCAGGCAAGGGGCCCCAGGTTCTATCCCCAACCCTGCATGAAGAACAACAGTCCCCATGAAATTCAGCTGTAACTGGGGTCCGATTTACTCTCCCCTCCTACTCTGGCTTTCCCCAATCCCCATGGAGGGGGAGGGAGTGGGGCTGTCTCCTGGGACAGGGAGAGTGAATGCTTGTCAGTCTCTTCTATCCTCTCGAAACAGCTGTCCCCAGAACTCTTTGAGGGCTGAATTTAGCTGACAGTTGCCCTCTGGGTATTTTGTACTTAGAAGGCCTTGAGCTTGCAGCTGTTCAGTATTTATCACATTGGGGCTGGAGAAATGGCTGTGAGGAGTGGTTGCTGCTCTTTGGGGGACTTGAGTTTGGTTCCCAGGGTCCACATTGGAGGCTTAGGACCAACTCCCTGTAACACTGACCCCTAGGTATCCCATGTCTTCTGACCCCTGAGGGCAATTACACATGCACACACACACACACACACACACACACACACCTGGCTTAGAGGCCTAGGCTTGGACAATGGCCACCATCAGAGTCTGTAGTATTATAAAGTAGCAAGCTTAGAGGCCTAGGCTTGGACAATGGCCACCATCAGAGTCTGTAGTATTTTAAAGTAGCAATTTAAGATCCTTCCTTCCTCCCTCCCTCCCTCCTTCCTTTCTGTCTTGGGGATGGAGCCCAGGGCTTTTCACCTGCCAGGCAAGGGCTCCAGCACTGACCTGTTGGTTGCTCATGTTCCTTGCTCTTTCTCTGCTTCCTTCTCTTTCAGCAGCAGAACCCTTTACCCAACCCAAGGCCCACGATTATGCCAGCATATTAAATATATGTAGTAAAGCTACTCTGGCTAATGTGTGCTTGGGGGTGTCAAGAGTCATCCCTTCCATGGGACCCAAGGATGCTGAGGGACCCTAGCTCCCTGCTCCCAAATCCATTTGTGACTGAAGGCCAGCTGGCAGATAGCTGAGCCCTGAAAGGGCAGAGCCCAGGAGCTGAACTCTCGGGGTGTGAGGACATGGAGAGCAGCCCTCAGGTGTGACTCAGTGGACACTGTGTGCTGCTTTTTCACCAGGGCTGCTCTTTGGGATGTGGCACATCATGTCATATGAGCCCCCCTCCCCCAAACAGGGGAATATGCTGGATCACCCCTGGTTCTGAGGACACTGGGAACAGCTCATGTACTGTATTTGGGGATCAGTGTTAACTGGGGACCAAGTTGGGTGGATCTCCATTTCCTGGCTGCCAGGAAGCCTGGAGTAAGGGTGAGGGCTGCTAAGTCAGGGTCCACTCTGTACTCCCTTCATCCTCAGGATGGAGGGCCCGGATACCCCACTCTTTCTTTCTTTTCTCATGAATTTGTCTTCAAATTCCCAAGCCATTTAGTCTCCAAGATGTTTTGTCCCATCATCTACAAGTACACTGGGGTTTCCTATACCTCAGGACCCTGAATTAGACACTTGCCTGTCTCCTAGATCCTTTGTCCAAAGTGCCAGTAGGCAGTGGGCAGGATGAGGCTGGGAGGGAGGCCGGGGAGGGGTGCCAGTGTTCCTGGGCAGTGTGGGCTACTGTTCATGGCTGCAGGGTTCTCACCCTTGCAAGGACTGGCTACTTTGCATGTGGCTGCCTGATCTCGCCTCTCCATACCTGCCTCTCATTGTCTTTGAAGGGACAGCTACAGGATGCATTTCTGTGCTCTTGGTCCTCTGTTCGATCCTGGGTGAAAATATAAGGTGATGGGGAGAGCAATTAGTTCATTCTGCTCCTATCTGGGGTATACCTATGACAGCTTCTGGGAGATGCGATGGTTCACCACCCAGCACTCTCAGAAGAGGCATGTGGGAGGGCGGAACCCTTCCTCTTTTTTTTTTTTTTTTTTTTTTTTTTTTACCCATACTCTGCACCACTTACCTACACGTTTTTTTCAGCTTCCATACTTGTGGCTCTCAGTCCATCCCCATCCACTTGTCTAATGATTTCTTAAAAATTTTTTTATTACATCTGCTTATTGATTTAGTGTCTGTGTTAGCCATGAGCTCACATGGAGGTTAGAGAACAACTCAAGAGACTGTCTCTCCTTCCATTTCAGGGGGCCTGGGAATCGACGTAACTAAGCTTGGCAGCAAGTACCTTTACCTAACAAGCCAATCTCACCTGCCCAACATCTATTGGTTTCTACTCCTTGGCCACAGCAGGACAGAGGCAAAGAGGATCTAGACAATATCTGGGCCCAAGCCAATCTTAGAAAGCAGTGAATTAACCAGAATAAGGATGGTGGTGGTGACAAAAGCCATCACTGGACATTCTACTCGCTCAGGCTGTATACCCATGCCCTGTTTATAGTCACATCCTGAAGATGGGATATCTAAGGTAATTCCATGGGAGGGGCTGGGGGTGCTCTGGCCTAGCTGAGACCACTCATGAGAGCAGTGTCCAAGCCTCCTGGGCTGGGATTTGACAGGCTGGAGCCTGGAAAGGGTTGAAGTTTTCTCCCTTGGCCAGGGTGGCCACTGATAGCAGCCGTTCTCACACTTCCAGCCCCTAACAAAGCCCGGGAAAGGGCTCCCAGGCTTCTCACAGGGCAGCTCCCGAGTGTTTAAAAGCTTTCTATTGAGAATTCCCATCTGAGCCATTCACAGAAAGTATCTGCTCTTTCTTGGCTGAGGCCCCAGCTGTGTTCACCAATAGAAAAGACTGCTTTACAAAAGGGCTGCCGGCTCTACAGGAGCAGGAAAAGCCTCAGGGTTTGCTGGGTTCTCAGCTGTGGAGGGGGCAGGACCAGCCCCAACTGTCTGGAGTTGCCTTTCTCTCCCTATAGGACTGCTGCGGTGCTGCCAGCATTCTGCCATGAACACCTCCCCACTATCTTGTAAATTGCTTTGTCGTTGTTGAGAAGCAAGAAACATGGAACAGTCACCTACTCCTCACTAGGTCTCAGAGGTGGGCACAGACCCTTTTGTTTGACTCCAAAGCTGACCTCTTTATTCTGAGATAGGTGCTTTATCTGGGAATGTGGAAACTGGACAGGGCAGTGCAGCCTGGGTACGGGCACGGTCCTATTGTCCCACAGAGAAGGCTCTGAGGTCCTAGGCTCTGTGTGTGTCCAGCGCCATGGTTTTCTTAGTGTCTCATCACTTTGTTGTACAGACAGTTAAGTCCCTCTCAGAAAGACAAATAGTGAATGTTCTCCCTCGTGTGTGCTTCCTAGGTTTTCTGTAGACACAGATCATAAAACTGTGCGTGTATATATGCCATGAGAGTAGGAGGAAAAATGCCTAGGGGATCAAAGGGGCTTCTGGGGTTGAGCAAAGGGAGTATAGGAGAGAGTGAATTTGTGTTCATAATGTAGAGTATTCTGTGTGCAAGAGCGTGTCCTCATGTAACTCAGTGCCACGTGCAAGGCCTATACATAAATGAGAAGCCAAAAAGAGAAAAAAAGAGTGTTTGGAGGTGTGGCTTTTGATTCTGCAAAATTCCATATTGTGAAGAGGAGATCAAACATTAAAATACATTGGTATGCGTGTGGGTGGGGGTGGGTGTGTGTGTGTGGGTGTGTGTGTGCGTGTCTGTGTCTGTCTGTCTGTCTGTTTGTCTGTCTGTCTGTCCTGTTGTGGAGGAGCATGGTTCTGAAACTTCAGACAGGAAATTCCCCTCCCCAGGGCCCCAACCAGTCTGTCTTCATGATATTGCACAGGAGACTTGGAAAAATGTTAAGCTTCCTTGAGAAAAAAATTAAATGTTTCCTTTAAGACCCTCACCCTTAAAAACAGGGTTTCACCAGGCTGGCCTCAGACTCTCAGGGATCAACCTGTCCCTGCCTCCTGAGGCTGGGATGAAAGGGGTATGCTGCCATACTTCCTTTTATTTATTTTTAATGAAAAATACTCCTAGGATGGATAGATGATTTAGAGTTTCTTTCCCCCTAGCAAACAGGAGTTTCCGAAAATATGTAGAGTCACAGGCATTATATGAAAACCAGAGCCCTAGAATAACACCCCCACTACCCTGGCAATCAGAGGGGTGTAGAGGTTAGCAGGACTGCAAGGCAAAGGACTTGGTGGGAGTTCTGTGTCTGTTGCTGGGCTGCCAAGCATTGCGACCCTTGCCAGTCTCAGTTCTCCTCTGAGCCTGCTGGCCCAGGATGAGCCCCTTGCAAGCTGCGTGCAGAGCGCAGCAGGTGCAGTATGGAGGAAGCACTCCCAGCCAGCAGGCACGCGTGAGCCTGGGCGGAGCGTGACATTTATCAGCACAATGTGGCCATGCTACAGCTCCATCTATCTCTCCACACTGTAAAACCTGAGAATTTGCAAGGCCCTAGCCCTAGCTCTGCTGGGACCCCTGCTGCAGGTTCAACTGGGCTGTTTCAGTTCGCCCACGCAGGATGTCTGGTGCCAAGGACCGGACGGCCTCATTGTGTATGAATGAGGCAGCTGGTGAATAACGCATGTGGCACTGACTATGCAAATCCCCAGGTTCTTACATTTTCAGCCAGCACACCACAATGGGCTGTTGGGGGCCCTCTGAGGTCCTGTTCTATGGTTTTGTGTCTGTTCTGGAGGACCTTGGCTGCCAAATCCCAGGCGGCACCTTGGGAAGAAGTGGGTACCTTGGCAAGCCCAACCTCCTATCATTCCTTCAGCTGCCCTGGTGTGGCTTAATGCAAAAGTCCCGTCTTCTGCCTGAGGTAGCCCATGGCACACGCATGTGGAGGCTTGTGATGTTTAATTCAGAGGGATGAGTGTCAACAGCCATGTTGGGGGCTGCTTTCATTGCTGGGTGGGGCTAGGCATCTACAATGACTCCCTGCCCCCTCCCCCAGTAGAGCTTCCTGGAAGGGGAGGGGCATCCTTTTCTCATGTCTTGGCCTCCCTTGGCCTCCCCACAGCTCCCCACACACACACACACACACACACACACACACACACACAGTCACATCCATGTTGATGTACACAGAAGAGTCATGAGTGTGCCTATGCCATCACAGACACATACACTGTTAGTCACACATAAACACACATATGCAAGCATGTCCATTGTCACACATATTTGAACACTTATGCCCACAATCATATACATGCAAATACTCATGTACATACATGCACACACACACAAAACATGCAGCTCCAAAGTCGAGAAAGATAGCAGCTTCAAGAGGAGTCCTGGGGGCAAGCCCAGCACACAGCACAGGAATCAGGGGACATGCCTGGGGCCATGGTGCAGTCCTCTTCACCAGCTACTGTGTGAACCTCTCAACTCTCTGTTCTCACTTTTTTTCTTCCTTTAGACAGGTGCTCATCTCATGTGGCTCAGGTGGGCCCCAAACTTGGCTGCACACTTAACCCTTCTGTCTGTGCCTCCTGAGTGCTGGGCTCACAGGCAGGCGTCACCATACCCCGTTTATGCAGTGCTGGGGATCTGAGCCAGGGCTTTGTGAATGCCAGGCAAGCACCCAACCATCTGAGCTACATCCCATCCCCAGCCCCAGGCTCTCAACCCCACTGCATTTCCTCATCTGGGAAAAAAAATGGGACCATGGCCCCCACCGGGAAGGCCCCTTAATGGCATTAGTAAATGGCCATGTCTGCAAAGTGCAGACCGAGCCCTGGGCCTGGCCTGTGGAGAGTCATGAAGAGATGGTGGCAGTGGTTAATTTCCTTGTCATTCTGATCTGAGCCTGAGGTCTGTTCTGTCTTAGCAAGAGTTGAGGGGGCTGCTGAGATGGCTACAGGGGTGAAGGCGTCTACTGCCAAGCCTGACAACCTGAGTTTGATCCCCAGGACCCACACGGTGGAGGGAGAGAACTCCCGAAAACTCCCTGACATGCGCGATGACATAAACAGATGTACTCAAACACAAGACAGATGGACACCGGATCAGGGAGGTTAAAACCTGCTTAAGATCTCAGACAGGCAGGTGGTAGAGTACAGAGTGCGGATCCCGACTAGGTCTGTTGGCCATAAAAGCTATTCTGCCACCATCTGCATTATGGGGGTCTTTCTGGGATTCTTATTTCCTTTTTCTTTTTGGTTTTTTGAGACAGAGTTTCCTGTGTAGCCCTGGCTGTCCTGGAACTCATTCTGTAGAGCAGGCTGGCCTTGAACTCGTAGAGATCCACCTGCCTCTGCCTCCCAAGTACTGGGATTAAAAGCGTGCAACCACCACTCCCAGTTAGCTGTCCTATCTTTCTAAGGGGCCAGTGGTTTACCTTCTGCTGCTTGAAGGCCCTGTTGAGTTTCCTTTCCTGGAACAGCAGCTGCTCTGTGCGCTCCAGGGCCTCCTTCAGCAGCGCCTTCTCCTCAGCTTCCTTGTAGACATCATCTTCCAGCTTTGCCAGCTGCGTCTGGTACATCTGAATGGACACTTTGCTCTGCCTGGGTGCATGGAGAGACAGAGTCCCTTTCCCCCTCACTGTCCCCACTTAACATCAAGATCCCAACCTCTCTAGATCCTTCCATATGGGGCTGACTTATGAGACCGCAACAAAGACTTGGGGACTAGAGTGCAAAACACATGGGACGAGTATAGCGTTTGATGTCTCAGGATGTGCCACCGGCCTTTTCAAGGCTCTAGGGTGTGTGTGTGGGGGGCGGGGGGGACCTGCAAGTCTTCGGGAAACGATGGACCCTCAAAGTCATTCATGTGTGTATGTGTGGACACCAATTTGTGTGAATGTGCACATGCATGTGTGGAGGCTGGGGGATGACCTCAGGTATGTGTCCTTGCCTTTAATGTTGTTCAAGGCAGGATCTCTGTTGCTTTTCTGTTTTGTATGCCTCCCATCTTCCCAGAGGAGCGCTGGAATCGTAGACACCCCTAATACTGCTTTCATGTAGACTCCAGGGATCCAAATTCAGCTTCTCACCCTTGTGGGACAAGTGTTTCGCCTATAGAAGTATCGCCAGCCTTTCGTTATTTTGAGACAGGGTTGTGTGTTGCCCAGGTTTGCTTTGAACTTGTGTCGTAGAGGGTGACCTTGAACTCCTGATCCTCCTGCCTCTACCTCCTGAGTGCTGGGGTTATAGACTGTAAGCAACAGTGCCAAGTTTTATGCACTGCTGGGGATGGAACCCAGGGTTCCACGCATGCTAGGCTCCAGGAGGTCATGTCCCCCAACTGGTGTTTTTACTTAATCTGCATCCTGGCCTCTGTCTGGTCCCAGCCCAGCAGCGTGTGGCTGTCCATGCTCAGCAGGGGACACGTGTGGTACCTGAGCTGTTCCAGTTCCTGCTCACACCCTCTCAGGAGTTCTTCCTTTCTCTGAAGCCGGGTCTTGAGCTGAGCGATCTTATCAAACACCAGGTCCAGGTCCTTCTGCCGGAGGTGGTTGACCTTCTCACGATCTTTGGGCGAGAGGTACTTCAAGTTCACATGGCCGGACATGTCCTTGATGTTCATCAGGCTGCCAAGCGTCCTGCTCATGTCAATGTACTGCAAGGAGATGGGGTGCTGGTAAGAGCAGCGCCACAGGCTACATGGAGGCCATCAGGAGGCTGATGTCTGATTCTAGCTCGTTCTTTGTAGCCGTTGGAAGCGAACGAGTATGTTGGAAGTGACTGCAGTTAGGTCTTTCATTTCCCCCCCAGCCGTGTACAGGAAGTCTTTTCCGGAATGGGTGGAAAATGACAACAGAAATTAACACTCATTCTAACAACGGAGCTTTCAAGGGATTGGGCTGTGTGCCGATTCCTGACCCATGCTGGGTAGCAGCCGGGGCTTGCTGAGCTGTTAGAACAACTCAGTATGGCTCAGAGGTTGATACTTAGTAAACGGCCCTATGGTTAACAATGGTGATGACATGTAGGGACCAGTGCTGGGCAGAAAGGAAGGGGGGGTACTGCGCGCGCACGCACATACACACACACCAGCTTCTCACTGAGTTCTAAGGCATCTGAAGCATCTGTTTTCATGGACTTCTCGGTGGCCAAGTTGGAGCCCGTGCTGAAAAGGCCAGTCTGGGGCTGAAATAAAAGAGAAACGAACACTCTCTTGGTGTTCTGTTGTTGGTGGCAGTCACAGGGAAGCTAGGACTCTGTGTGACTATGGAAGAGGGGTCCCATGGGTTTCTATCTCTATTCCTGACCATCTAGTTGGAATTCTTGCTTATCGACTTTGTTATATGTGTACTTGTTCCTCCTCTGATGTCTTCCCTCTAGAACAGTGTCTCTGGGGTGGGTTAAGTTTGCACCCCACTTTCCCAGGTTGCTTAGTGACGTCTAGGGTCATCTGAAGAGGGCAAGTGCTATTGACATCCAATGGGAGGATGATGAGGCTGCCATGAACAAGACAGTCCCCAATCAAACTGGCCGGGAGTCATCTGACCCCAGATATTCTGTGTGGAGAAGGGAGGCCAGTGTCCAATCTCAGGTGCCATTTCTCAGGAGCTGTCTGCCCTGCATCTTGTTCTTTGATACAGTCTCTCACCAGGTCCTGAGGCTTGCTGGTCCCCAGAAATTCTTCTGTCTTTACTTCCCCAGCATTGGGATTGAGAGAGTGCACACTACAGAGCTCAGCATTTTTTTTTTTTTTTTTGAGACAGGGTTTCACTGTGTACCTCTGGCTGGTCTGGACTCACTCTGTAGACCAGGCTGGCCTAGAAATCACAGAGATCCACCTGCTTGTGCCTCGCAAATGCTGGGATTAAAGGTGTGCGCCACCATGCTCCCCCATTTTTAATGTATGTTCTAAGAATCAAACTCAAGGTTTGTGTATAATGGTAGTTACTTTGCCAACTAAGGCATCCCAGCCCTTGACCCCGAATATTGTGTCAGTGTTGAGAAGCCCTGGCCTAAGTGACAAACACAGAGATGGGGACCATGTTGCTATCTGCATATACTCGAGTCCTGTGCCTAGCGTGGCACTCACTGGTCACACGATGTACCCGAGGGATGAATGAAGGAAGGCTACGCAGGAACAATGTGTTCTCCTTTTGTTAGATGGGCCTCATTTCCACACAGCAGAAATGAGTCTTTCAGAAGATGTGGCCCAAGTGTTCTCCAGGTGGGTGAGGCTCCCTGGACCATTTCCTGAGATGATGTAGGCTGGGCCTTCCAGCTGTGCACTTGCTATGCCCTGTATCAGCCAGCTGGCCTCTGGGAGCTCTCACTGGAAGCATGGGACAGTAGCCAGGCCAGACAGAGAATGCAGAGAGCCATGAGTAACTGTAATACACCTCATCAGGACTTTAGTATCCAGTAGATACATTGTGGACATGTTGATTGATCTTAACATCTGCAGGTGCTGCCAGGTGACCCCAGAAGACCAAAATAGCACCAAAAAACCCTGACCGGAAACTCAGAAAGGTTTGACAATTGGTAAGAGTGGACTAGGTTATATATTGAGATAAGAAAAGAGTGTGTGTGTGTGTGTGTGTGTGTGTGTGTGTGTGTTTGTGTGTGGTGCACATGCATGTGGTGTGTGTGTGTGTGTTCGTGCACACGAATGATGCACATATGTACAGGTGTGTGTAACCCATGTGTGTGTGGAGACCAGAGGAGGTTGGCTGTCCTGATCTGTCACTTTTTACCTTCTTCCCTTGAGACAGGGTCTCTCACTGAACCTGGAGCAAGGCTGGCAGCCAGCAAGCCCCAGTGATCCTCCTGTCTCCATCTCCTATAATGCTGGGGTTAGAGGTGAGTGGGTGTGGCCACACCCTGCATTTTCATTGTACACTGGGGATTTGAGCTCAGCTCCTCGTGTTTGAAGAACGAGTATTTTTGCCCATTGAGCTATCTCCCCAGGCCTGACAGGGAGGGCATCTTTTTCGGATGACAGTAAATTGAGCAGAATCCTCTGTACCCCTCTCCAGGATCCCCCTTTTCATCCTTCTTTGCAGACTGGCATGGTGCCAGAGGAAGACAGCCAGGGACACATCCTCCTGTATGTCTGTGACCTTGGACTGAGGTACTTGGGTTCTGAAACCCTAATTCTTAATCTATAAATAGGGACAGTGGACCTGCTACAGCCCAGCTGCTGCAAGGATGGATTCACTGAGCAGGTGAAGGGCTTGGCTCAGGTCCATCACACAGCAAGCCCTCCACCCATGTGGGCTTTTCTTCCTTGCTACTCCTCTTATAATTCAAATTGTTCCCAACTATGGGTGATCAAGGGTTTTAAAAACAGAGTTGGGAGGCCCCCTGCTGTGTAGTGGCAGTGGTGGGTCAGTCACAAGGGGAAGGCCTGTCTGGGAAGCAGAGTCAGGCCATGAGATCTAGCTGACCTCCCATCTGGACATGGTCCCTGCACATCCAGCCCTGGAGACTGGGTATGTGATGCTTATTAAGAAAACCAGCTCACTTCAAAGACCTTCATCTCTGACCCCAGTAAATGCCCAGAAAGATAATTAATGATAGAGTATTGGTTCAGATAGAGGAACTTTGTTGTTCATTCTAGAAGCTTCCATGTGCTTTATTCTGTGTGTCAGCCAGTATGCAGTCAGTGGATCCTACGATTAACACTGACCTGAGAGGTCCCTTGTCAGGTGTCCATCAACTTATATAGTCTAACATCCTTTAGGTCCCAATTAATCACTCCTGAGAATCTTGGCACCTAAGGTCCCACTCCTTCCTTGGATAATATTATTTAGGAATAACAGCTACCTATTATTTAGTACAAATTCTGAGTCAGGCTTTAGTTATCTTGACTTTTGTTGTTGTTGAGAGAGTCATGAGTCGCCTGGGTAGACCTAAAGCTTAGTATTAGTCAAGCATGACCTGCACCCCTGATCTTCCTGCCTATACTCCTGAGTCCTGGGATTACAGGAGTGCGTCACCACACTTGGCCCTCCTTTCCGGTTTTCACCAGAGCCTTCCTGGAGGACATGCAGCGCTCAGTCTGGGTTCAGACAGGGCCCTCTGGCTCTCTCATCTCAAGTTTCCTTCCACCCCTGTACATGTGCATGACTTTCAGTCTATGAGGAACAGCAGACTTTGGCAAACTCATGGCATAGCCTCATCAACCAACCTGGTGGACATTTTCAAGCAGGATGTAACATCTCCTAGGAAAAGGAAAAGCCCTTTGTGCTTCAGTGGCCAATTTGGCCCAGAGTCAAAGCAATGACAAACTGTGCTCTGCATATGGAGGCCACCGTCTGTGCTAATATCCAGTGGCTCACTGGCGAGAAACCTGCTCATCAGGGAAGCCCTGGCCCTGAACCTCCACCACACTGACTTGAGGCTCAGCTCACATCAGCCCTAATGCCCGCCCTCTCATGCCAGTCACTGCAGAGACAAATGATTTTTGGTTACCGATCGGATCTCTATTCTTGAGAGAGTCGTCAAGTCAGGCTTTGCATCTAATAATACTTTCTGTACATTTTTTTCCATTCTGAGGGTCTTTAGTTCTAGGAATGAGTCATTCGCGTGGTCCTTATGATCTACAAAAGAAATAATTTAAGACTCAGGAAGACATCACATCATCACTGTAGCTACAACTTACAGGTCACTTACCATAGGGCCGTTTTAATCCTCATGACCTCCCTGGCAGATGAGGAAACCAAGGCCTAGAGAGATTAAACGATTTGCCCAAGGCCACACAGCGAGTGTGAGGCTTTGGCCACAAAGCTGTCACTGCAGATGTGAACCTCACTTAAGGCCTTTCAGGCTCAGAGACGGAGATGGGACTTGTCCTGGAACAGCCGATACCCAGTGCCTTGCTCACTTACCAGCTGCCCGTTCTGAGCCAATTGCAGCCTTTCTGAATGGGGTGCTCTTAAGAGGCACCCCCAGGGCTCATCTTCAAGTAGCATTAGACCGTGACAAAGATCCCACCAGGTCACAGCGAAATAAGGAGGAGGACAGTAGTGAGTTTTTCATGTCCTATTTATTTAACATTGGGGCCTGCACTTGACTCTGAGGCGGGGTCTGGCCCATCACTGTTAGTGTGATAGTGTCTTTCCGATTATGAGATGATGGAGACATCCTGGCCAGTCAGCTAGTCCCCAAGGTGCACACCAGGCTCTGGGGCCCCCAATCTGGACTAAGGAGTACAGAACTTACTGGAGGAGTTGGTCTTCTCTAGTTCTTTGACTCGTACTCGCAGTTCCGACAAGGCCTTCTTTTGCTGCTGGATGATTTCCTCGTGTCGAGATCCTTTGCACTTGGCCCCCAGGTCACTGAAGGACTGTTCCTGGAGACAGGGTGGTACAGACAGCAGCTCCCTAAGGGTCCAGCTATTTCCCTCAGATTGCCAGGGACATGAACAATGCCTGTTCAGCAGAAACCCTGTCATTCAGCACTGGAAAATACCATGAGAGCTTCCTCAGAGAAAGGATTTCAATTTTTCATTGCAAATATCAAGTCCCATGTAGGAGGATTTCCAGCTCCTCTTCCTACTTAGTGACACTATAAATATAACATCCCCTAGACTTCTCTGCAGACTTTACTTCTTCTTCTTCTAGTGGTCTTTCATGCCTGTGTCTCCATTTCTTCTTAATTTTTTTTTTTTGATACAGAGCCTTTCTAAATAGTCCTGGCTGTCCTGGAACTTACTATGTAGACCATGCTGGTCTTGAACTCAGAGATCTACCTGCCTCTTGAGAGCTGGGTTTAAAGACGTGTGTCCCCACCACACCCAGCTTTTGGTCTCCATTTGTTAAAAATCTGATCTTGTTCTGAGTAGTAACTTTTAAAAAATAATTATTTTTTATTATTTTTAAAAGTGTGTGTGTGTGTGCACATGTGTGCACAGGTACCTGTGGAAGCCAGCAGAGGGCGTCAGGTTCCATGGAGTGACAGGTGGTTGTGAGCTGCCTGGTGCAGGTGCTAGGAGTAGAATTAAAGGCCTGTGCAAGAGCCACAGGGGACTTAACTGCTGAGCTGTCTCTCCAGCCCCTCCTGTTCTGGTTCTAGGGGGACAGTTTTACTGTTTTATTCTCCTCTCTTCCCTTCTGTGGTGCTGGAGATGGAACCCAGTTTTCATGCACAATAAGTTCTCGCTCTGTTGCTCAGCTATATGCCGGGCCCCAGAAGGGCATTTTCGATGAGACCCACCAGAGGCTTCCATTCACACTGGTCACAAGGCTGGTTTTCTCCTGTCTGCTTGGGGGTACTAGGCAGCCTGGCACTTGGTTGGTCTGGAGAGACCTCTCTCTGAGACTCCAGGATCTTTCTGTGACAATAGACTGTTCCATGCCTGCCTCACATGGTATGACAGCTGCTGGCCACATGCAGACCCCACAGGACCCTTAGAGACTAGAGTGAGGTTTACTCAGGGCACAGACAAGGAAAGTCTTCAAAGGGCATGATCCTTTTAAAGATGAAGTCATGAGAATTTAGGATTTTTTTTTTCCTGTAGAAAAATGAGGAGACGCACCTCAGTCATATGGAGTGCTTATCTACCATGCTCAAGACCCAAGCTCCTTCCCCAGCACTGCATAAACTGAGTGAGGTGACGAGTGCCTGTGATCCCAGCACTTGGGAGGTGGACGTGGAAGAATCAGAAGTTTGAGGTCCTTCCTGGCTACATAGTGAGTTTGAGGCCAGGCTGGGTTACATGAGGTCCTGTCTCAGTTCTTTAGTGATTCATTCAACCATTCATTCACTCATTCCACACCTCGGCCTGCTAAGCTTGCTCCAGGCTCTCAGGCTCCCTCAGGGAGCAACACAGACAAATCCTTGCCATCTTGGGTTTTATACCCCAGTATGAGGAGACAGACAGTGGGGAGGGCACATAGGGAGAGACTGAGTAGATAGGGACAAATGTCACAAGGATAATTAAGTGGGGACCTGGGATGGGGTACTGAGAGTGGTTTTCAGTTGTCAGACAGTTGCTAGGGGGAGGCCTCAGCCAAACTGGCAAGAATGGGAAGAAACCAACGATCTCTCTTTTATAACTATTTTTAAAATAGCAACGCTTGGTTCATTTTAGATTACAGCTATAGATACCGAAGACAGCATATATAGCATGGGGTGAACTGAAATTATTAAAATTTATATAGCTAGGCATCTCTGTCTCTATTTTGTTTTCATTTAAATTCTTTAATTACTAGCCATATTTACATATCCATCCCCCCATTCCCTTGCCCTCCCATCCTCCCATGTTCCCCACCAACACCCCCAACCCATCCCCTAGCTCCTCCCCAGGGACAGTGAGGCCCTCCACCAGGGACCTTCAAAGTCTGTCATATCATTTTGGGGAGGGCCTAGGCCCTCCTTGTTGTATCTGGGCTGCAATAGTTTCCCTCCATAGGGCTCTATTTTTTTTTAATGTTTTTCCTTTTTAAATTTGTCTCTGAGACAGATTCTACATAGCCCAGGTTGCTCTCAAACTTCCTATGTAGCCAAAGATGACCTTGAACTGGTCCTCTTGTCTCCAGCTTCTGAGTGCTGGGGTTTCAGGCATGTACTGCCATGCTTAGTTTGTGTGGTATTACCGTGTACGTTCAAAGCTTTGTGTCTTCCACAAGCACCCTACCGACTGAGCCCCGTGCCCGGCCCCGTGTCTATCAATCCATTACTAGCTATCCATATTCTGATTCATATTTATGCTCCCCTCCCCTACACTAGACACTGCCCAGGCGCCTCTGTCAAAGACCCAAGCTAAGCTCTCCCGTGGACCTGAACTTTGCACACCAGACGGAAAGCAGTTGAGGATAGCAGTTGAGCATTAGACCACCATCAGTGAGTGAGATTCCCACCACAGACAGAGACCAGGGACAGAGAATCGCTTGCTCTCTTCTGCTGACTCTGGTTGCTTCTTTAAAGCCAATAGGATGATGGGTCCCAGGCCCTGAGCTAGTCACACCCGATCCCTGGGGGGACATACTCAAGGCCCACTTGCTCCTCCTCCAAGGGGCTCAGCAATGCTGTCTGAGGCCCTCGTGGGAACGCTCTCTTCTCCTTGACATTCTGTCACTCACACTGTTACTTCCTTCTGGCTCTGCTCCAAATTTCCCCCTGTGAGGCCTCTTAGCACCAGTGCTGAGAGAACCTCTTTCCTATGATGCTCTTATCTATTGTCTGGTCAGTCGTCCTCCCCCCCTCCCCGCCCCCCCCATTGGAAACAAGCCTTGGTTATCTGGGAAAAAGAGTACCTCAAATGAGAAAATGCCTCTATCGGATTGGTCTGTGGGCAAGTCTGTGGGGCCATCTTCTTGATTAATGATTGATATGAGAGAGCCCAGTCACTTCAGGTAGTGCTAGCCCTGGGCAGGTGGTCCTGGGGTGTATAGGAAAGCAGAGTGATGGGCTAGGGAGATGGCCCAGCAGTTAAGAGCACTGACTGCTCTTCCAGAGGACCTGGGTTCAATTCCCAGCACCCACAACTATCTATAACTTCTGTGCCAGGGAATCTGATGCCCTTGTACAGACATACCTGCGGGCAAAACACCAATGTACACAAAATAAAAATAGAAGGAAGCAGGGTGAGCAAGCTAGTAAAAGCAAACCTGAAAGCAATCAGCACTCCTCCATGGCCTGTGCCTCACTCCCGGCCTCTGGGGTTCCTGCTGCCAGTTCCTACCCTGACTTCTTCCATGATGAACGATAAGCTGTTAGGTGAAATGGACCCTTTCCTCCCTAAGTTGTTTTTGGTTAGAGTGTTTATCATAGTGATAGAAAGCAAACTAGGACGGTCTCAAGACCTGCCATAATAGTTCCTCAAGCCCCCTGACCCCACCTTGTCCCCAGGACCTTTTATTCTGTACTGTTTCCTTTCTGTCTCCTCCCTTCCTGCACAGCACACAGGCTTCAGAGGGCAGAGCTGTGGTCCTCCTGGCTGGAGCATGGTGCTCAAGTCTGGAAGGAGTGAAGTCTGGAAGGCTTCCCCAGCCTCTAACAAACAGTACCAGGGCTGCTGGTGGCTGAGGGGACCTGACTAGCCTGGTGTATTGTCCTGAAGCTGGATCACTTAAGGGCTTGGTTCTGTATGGGGCTCATTCACCTGCTGGAGGGCATCTGTTTGTTCCGGAAGGAGCCACTTGAATAGAAGCAGGCAGATGCTGCACTGGGCGGAAGGACAGGCTCAGCAGTCAGGCCAGACTCCCCTAGTCTTTCATGGGAGAGGAAGCACCACGTGACCCTCCTCATGCTCCTCTGGGATCTCTTACTGAGAGAGGACATAGATTCTTTCTCATACAACTCTTGAGCCCTCTGACCCCCTTTGGCTTCGGAAACAGGAAGTAGCCTGGGCAAGGACCACTGTTCCACGAAGGGAGGCTTTTTGCCTTTTATCTTGCATCCTCCCTCCCCCATCAGCCTCAACTTTAATACAGAAACTAAAAGTCACCATTCAACAGGTCTCCCCATGGAACACATGGGTGTGGATGTATGTGTGTGGGGGTGGGTGGTTGCTATGTGTAGGGCACCTTTCCCTGTCTTTAGCACAAGGCCTGATACACAGCAGGTGCTCAGTAGTCTTCGTGGATCACATCTTGCTTTGAGGGCTCAGGATTCCAATAGGAGTGATTGACATTTCCTGTGCCCAGCAGCGCTTCCAGCCACCTGGACCATTGCACTCCTCCTCCTGGTTGCCCTGGGCAACAGGAGCCCCTTCTATTAATGTTCTCTGGACAGTACTCAAGGACAGCTGGCTGGACCTCAAGCCCTTTCATCCTGGCTGCCTGGAGCCCTGGCTCGCTGCTGTCTGGCAGAGGTAGTGTCTTTGTTGAGACATTTGGCCTGGTTTCTTTTGCAGATGATTCATTCTCTCGTTTCCCAAAGCAAAAGGCAAAGGTTATTTTGGACTGGACTCTAGGAATTGGAGGCCTCAAGGAACCACTGCACCCCATAGTCAGCCTACTAGGAGCAATAGCAAATGCCATGGCACCAGGCATGGGGGCAGAGTATGAGGGTCACCTGGTGGAGACTGTTCTCTCTCAGACAGGCTTCCTACTGGATGAGCATCTGTGACTTCCAGGCAGCCACACAGAGAGACCTATCAAGTGACTACCGCAGTATGTGTGTGTGTGGTGCGTGGGTCACATTAACTGCACGGCTCTCTGGGAAGGTCATTTGGTTCTGTGCTGCACAGTTTATCTTGCTGTGTCCCTTGGCCCCAGCAACTTCATAGCCAAACATGAGTTCTACATCTGGGCAACTTATACTAATTATAGCACGAGTTTAAGGGGGGCACAGCTGGACTCCCCATCATCTGGGGACTGGCTGGATAAAATGGGCACAAGATGGAATTCTAAGCAGCCACTTAAACAAACAAAGCAGACTTTTACAGACTTGGTTAAAAAGATGCCATCCAGTAGTGTTTGTGGGCTGGTGAGATGGGATCAGTGGTTAAGAGCGCTTGCTGTGCAAGCGTTAGGGAACTGACTTCAGATCTCTAGCACCCATTTACAAAAGCTAAGCAAGACTGCATGCACCCGTAACCCCAAACCTGGTGGGGATGGGGGCGGGGCAACATCGAAACAGGTTTGCTCACCAGCTCTGCAGGAAAAATATGATGGCATGCTCTAGGTTCAACGAGGGACCCTGTCTCAAGGGCGGTAAGACAGTTAGAGCCAGATAGCCAATAGCCAATGTCCTCCTTTGGCCTCCACACACATGTCTCTCTGTCTTTCTGTCTGTCTCTCTCACACACACACATGAGAGAGAGAGAGAGAGAGAGAGAGAGAGAGAGAGAGAGAGATGAACAAATTGAAGAATTAGCAGAAAATTTCCTTCCAGATGTGTTTGTGGGTTAGCATAAATAAAATGTATTTCTCACCCATTCTCAGAGAAGGGAATTGGTGCACAGTGACTTCCCTAGGGACACCGAATTTCTATGTAAAGGGGTGGGAATTCAACCCCAGGCCAACCTGACCCATGGTGGATCGCCAACCACTACCCCACCACTGCTACAATTCATTATTGTAGGAAGACCTGGTGGCCTCAGGGGAGAGAGCTGCTGGCAGCCTCCACTGTTGATAGTGTAACCATGGAGACTGTGATCATGGGGCAGGACTCTGTCTTACTTTGTCATTTCATGTGAATGAGCAATACTTTGAGAAGCCTTTAACCCTTGGGCTTTTGGTTGTCACCCAAAGCCTGGACCTGCCTTCCCTGAGCCCCAGTCCCAGACACTGACCTCGTGCAAGCTGGAGAATGTATCTGGGTGCACTGGTTCTATCTGCAATGAGATGTCACACCTCTGGCTCAGATTCCTACTCTTCTGCTCCAAGCTCGGGTGGGGTCTATGTTTCTCTTGGGAAGTCCTGGAGCAGAGAGGGACATCACAGGCATCAGGCGGCTCAGGGTTCGCGGACCTTTGCATCCCTCCGTAACCTGGAGGTAAAACTATTTTCATAGGTGACTGAATTCTTTTACACTTCCTGCATTTAAGCTGAGCCGAACTTGGGAGGTTGCCCTTTCCAGAACACAGCGCGGCTGTTTTAATTAGTCTCTGAAGCAATAAAACTCTATCACTCATTCACCCATCAGATTCAGCCAGGGTTTACTGAGCCCCCCTCTGTGTCCGACCCCTGGGGGGGTCACGCCGATCGGGCCCCGGAGCACACCTGAGCGCCTCCCTGAGGAGCCTCAGTTCCCGGTCTTTCTTCTCCACCATGCTGTTTGACTGGGCCACCTTCACTTTGAGCATGCTCAGCTCGCTGCTCTGCTGCTGCACCAGGGCCACTTGTCGATTCAGCTCTATCTTCTGCTTCTCGCTTAGCTCCCCTGGGGGTAACAGGAAGTTGGTGAATGGTTTTCTACCTTAGATCTATGTCATGGCCTATCTGACAGCCCTATGAGATCCATGAGGCAGGTTTGCCCCAGGGTCCTCTGGGGCTCAAGTGCCCCCTAGGAGCTCTACCAGAGCCTCAGCATGTGACGGCAGGTGGCACAGTAAGCCCCTGCTTCTGCCTCGCTATGGTGTTATACAGCCACCAATGACCTCAAACTTCCAATCTTCCTGTCTCCATCTCCTCAGTGCAGGGATCACAGGTATGTGACACCAGCTCACTTTCACTTAGTGCTGGGATTTGAACCCAGGTTCTCATGCAGGCTAGGCAAGCACTCCAACTGAGCCACATACCCACCTGCCTCTGTATCTTTTTGCCCAGGGGTGTTCTCAGGCTCCCGGGGTCTTCTGGGCTATGTTCATGCCAGGTACAACAGTGTTCCATCTACAGCTGGCACAGACAGCTGTTCCTGCTCCTAGCTCACTCTGGTACAATCAGTGCCGGGCACCTCAGTGCCCTCCTGACTGACAGCCTATAGTTCTGGGTACCTCAATGTCCTCTTGACTGACAGCCTACCACATTTCATTTTCTTTCCCTTTGGCTCAAGCTCTACTTCGCTACCAGCATTTACTGGAGTTATGGCTTGATTAGACAAGCTGTAATGGAGTTCCAGTTTTAGGGTCTGCTGCCAGAAAAACACACACTAAGACCTTTGTACTACCTTAAATCTTCAATTGCAGGTCACACGGGAATTACCCTTGGCACCCCCATTTCACAGATTTGGACATCAAGGCTCAGAGAGGCAGAGTCTTGTCTAATGTCCGGGACCTGATTCGCTGTATACTGTGTTATTTCTCTCTTTCCTATCAGAAACCATGGGAATGGCCTCAGGGAGCAAATAATGCTGAGAGTTTGGGGTTCTCAGAGGCTGGGGATGGGTGAGATAATCCCCTTCTCTCCCTCTAGCCCTCCTTTCCACCTCCCTCTTCTGGAATCTGGTTTTGTTACCTCTCAAATCCTATCTGCCTGGGCTTTTTGTCCTGCCAGAGGCTGGGGATGGGAAAGAGAAGGCGGCCACGGAAGCAAGAGGAAGATGTAGAAACACAGTGAAAAGAAGTCTGAGGTGCAGGAAAGACTGAGTCAGGCAGGCTGGGTGTCAGGCAGGAGGGTGTTGACACCGGGCTTTCTCTCCCCTGCCCTGGGCGGCTGATGAGGAAGGAGGTGTGAGGTCTTTTTGCATGATGAAGAGGAGGCTTGTGGGGCCCCTTCATACTGCACCCAGGCTCATGCAAAGGTCCCAGCCCCCTGGGGTAACCTCCCTTCTGCCCTCCCAGAGCTGGAGACTGATCTGCATTAGAATATCTTGGTGCTCAAGGTCCACTAATGTGTGTGATCCCTGGGTGACGGGGCTGCAGGCACACAGGAAAGCAGGTCCATGAGAGGCTCTGAGACCAAGGCTGCTGACTCTGCCTTCACTTCCTTCCTGAGAGGGTCAGGGTGTCAAGTGACCCAGGAACTCAGACCAACCTCTCAGGTCTGACATCCTGCCGTGGGCTTGATTGAGGTCTGTCCTCAGCCTCATGATGACCTCCTGCTGAGACAGGATTTCCTTCTGAGCAGTCAGTAAGTCATCTCTGTAAATAAACAACAACAGGCCCAGTCAGCTGTGCTCAGTCCCTGGTGACTCCTGAGGGGGACTGGAAAGATGGGCCCAGAGAAAAGGCTCAAAATACCTAGGGATGGACCGTGGGACCTCAGCCCAGCCAGGGGACAGGCAGCATTTAAATACTCAAAAGGAACACTGTTTTGATGCACTGTAGCACATTCTGAGATAGCACAAAGGGTCTGCCCGGGCTGAGCTGAGGTCCACATGGCTCTAGTAAGGGTGTCATCTGCCCCTGCATGGGACCTGTCAATACTGGTTGACAGGCCAGTGGGTTTTGTGGAAAGAGGGTGGAAGACTAAGGGGGCACATTCAGGGCTTCCATGAGGATGGGGAGAAAAGGAGGGCTTTCTGTTTGTGCGCTGGCATGCTGGGATCCTGGGCACTGGGGACCAGGCCTAAAGGAGATACGGAAATGTGAATGGATAGATGGCACGTCTGACTTCATGAGAATTGCTATCCCCATTGGAAGGGGAGTTCCACAGGACAGGCACTCACTGGGGACCACAGCATGTAGGTCTGTGAGGGAGAGGGCTGTACATAGAAGCTGGGTTGAGCCTTTGAAGGAGTATGAGGGACCTGGATGGGATACACACTTTTGTGTGCACTTGTATTAGGGGAAGGATGGTACTGAGTAGAAAGTAGTTTTGAGGCCTGTCCCTTGATACTCTCTAGTAAGCTCAGAGGCTTTGGAGGCCCAGGCTCTACACACACACACACACACACACACACACACACACACACACACTGGGTGCCTCTGACTTTCTTGGCGTGAAGATTTAACGCCTCCTTGTTCACACGCTGATCTGCAGTAGCCTTCTGGACTATTGTACTCGTGGCTTGTGGCTTGTTTAATTTTTAGCGGTACCAGATCCAGCCTAGGGCCTCACACATGTAAGGCCAGTGCTCTAACACTGTGGTACATTCCAAGCCCGTTTTGTGTTTTTGAGTAGCCCAGGCTGGCCTCCTATGTACACTTCTGAGCACTGGGATCACAGGTATGTGCCATCACACCTGGACATAAATAGGTTTTGTTTTTCCAAAAATTGTCAATTCCATGAGGTTCCATAGGCTCCTTGACTGTTAGGGTTGGAGAGGAGCTCATTAGCTAGGGCCATTTGGTGCAATTCTTTTCTTCCTCCGTATATTTTATCTATTTGTTTTGTATGTGTGTGTGTGCCATGCTGTACCTGTGGAGGTCAGAGGACAGCTTGTGAGAGACTCTGTTCTCTCTTTCCACCGTGTGGGTTCTGAGGGTCACACTGGGGTTGTCAGGCTTGGCCGAGAGTGCCCTTTTGCCAAGGCATCTGGCAAACTGCTGACCCTTTCCAGAACTCTCCCCTGTAAGTGGTCTCCGAAGGGACCAGCTCCCCATTTCGGCAGCCATAACAGCTGAACATGTGCTTGTCTGACCTTGTCTTAGTCACTAAGAGGTCAGATGCCTGCCTCTCAGCAAGGAACCAATCAGAAGTTAGCTGGTGGTGCTATGCTTTATGGCTCTGGGTGTGCTTTATGGACAAGTGCATAGCAATGATGCGCAGAGCATAGCAACCACCCAGGGAGGGCCTATGGGCCATAACAACCAGTTGGCCAATCAACACAGGGCAAACCCTCCAAGCCTGGAGGCACACCAATCCTGAGCCTGTGCATACCCCTAGACACTCCCCTTATGCTGCCCTACAAGATCTCTATGCAGACGCTTCGAGCTGTCTTTCCTAGCTGTCCGCCATGGTGGGTGGATGAAAGACCCGAGCTAACATGGGGTTAGCTCATTAAACAACTGTAATAAAGCCTCGTGCTGTTTGCATCAAGCTTTCAAATCCGCCTGGTGATTGGGGTGACTGTGGTCCTGGGCTGAGATCCTGGAGGCCTGAGGCTTCCGGGGATCTTACAGTCTCTAATGTAAGCGTGGATCATAAGAATGAGATTCTTCCCAGGGGAGTTCAGGACAGAAAGCAAATCACAGCGCCTGCTCACAGTCCCCATACTGCAGGCATGAACCTCCTACAAATGCAGCTGCTCAGGGAGGCAGCCTGACTCACCCAGGACGGCAAGGCCACCAAGGGTGGATCCTGGCAGACAGCTGCCTGGATCTCCCTATCACATTATCCTCACTTGCAACAGGAACCGAGAAACCTAAGCAACCCTGAGAACACAGATCTGGCTATGTTCCTGTCCCTCTGATGCCTTGAGACCTGCCTTGGTACTTACATCAGGTGGTCGCATGCTGATTCCTTGGTGCTGCTGTCCACGGGGGGTCCTGCTGAGGGCTCTTGGAGCACTCTCTCCTTTTGAGCTGCATGGGGGTGGGGGTTGCCAACATCGTCACAGTCCATTAGCAGTGAACTTTCCCTTTCCCCTCCCCTGTGAGCACACTTGTGTCTCTCACAGTTTATCACAGTGATGTCTGCCCTGAGACTCTCCACATGTACAGTGTAACAGGCTGAGGTGTCTCTCTCTGTGTGAAGTCTGGATGTGGCTTCTGTCTTCTGACATGATGTGTTGACATTTCCTCCCCAGTGTGAGGGTTAAGAAGGTGGAGGCTCGATCTCACCGTGGCGTTAGAGGAGTGAACAGGTTAGATGAGACCATTGTGGTGGGCCCCAGGGGACAGTGGGACAAAGACTAGACAATTCACATTCCTTGTCTCTCATTCTTTTCTACCTTCCCCCTACTTTTATAAAGAGTCTCATGTAGGCCAGGCTAGCCCCAAGCTCACTATGTAGCTGACGATGACTCTGAACTTGATTCTCCTGCCTCCACCCCCCCCCTGCAGTGCTGAGATTACAGGCCTGCACCACTAGATCCCATTTATGTGGTGACAGATCGAACCCAGGGCTCCCTGCTTGTGAGGCCAGCACTCTACCAACTGAACCACAACCCCAACTTTGCACACCCCTTGTCTCTTGACACGTGACACTCTGTGCTTTCTCAGAGGGCTCTGCTGGCAAGGCCATAGTCAGAAGTAGACCTTCCACCCTGAACCTAACCTCCAACTAAACATCTTTTCTTACTTGCCCATGCCTAGGACTGGGCCGGCAACAACAGAAAATGAGCTAATATGGCTGTGAGCTCTTTCTGGCTCCTGGGTGAGGCAGGGGTCACCAGTGACATTTACAGACAAGGAAGCCATATGAGAATAAGGGACCTGATGGCAATGGCCCAGCCAAGCTTCAAGAGGTACAGCCTTATTGATGGGTCATATCACCTGGCCTTTCTTCTTTCTAGACAAAAGTCTTAAAAGAATTCATGTGTTCTGGCTCCCCATCTTCCCCGCTCACTCCTTTGTCCACTGTCCTCTGCTTTCCAATTCTTACTCAATCCATTATTCACCCAACAAACATGTCCAGTGCCTATTTTATGGCAGACACTTATCTAACGGCAGAAATGACAAAGATGCTGTCACCTTGAGGTCCCATTGAGTAGCCTCACTCTTACCCCAATTCTGGGTTAGGAGTCAGAGCCTGCTGTGTGCCCTCGTTGTGGGGCCCTGCTTACCCCAAGTCACTGTCAGGGCACTAGCTTGGTTACTCACGGGGATATTGGTTGGTTGGGCTATCATGGATCTCCAGTGCCTAAAGGAGGCTGGGGCATCCCAGGTGTGCAAATGGTGCATGAGGTAAGCCTGAGCTCTGTGCCTCCCACTGGGGCCTAACTCGCCTCTGGAGGAACTTTGGCGATGTCTGGAGACACTTGGCCGTGAGGTGGGGGAGGAATGAGGCTTGTCGTAGAGGTCAGGGACGTAGCTAAAGCAGGCACCCTGCCCCCAAGCAAAGCTTATCCAGCACCAAACACCAACAGTGCTGACGCTGAGACCTAGGGCCTGGGGCCTCAGCTTCCAAAACTTTCCACCCAGCGCTTAGTGTCTGTCATGAGTGACCTAGGTCATTTAGGGTGAGTGAGTGGTATAACTGATTGCTGTTTTAGCCTCTTTGGGTTTATTTGGTAGGAGGCCAGTCCTGGCTGCCCAGGAGAGCTGTTAGTAAGATCACAGTGACCAGTGGCCATAGAGTTGGCCCTGGATTGATTTAGTTCTCATGTGGAAAAGACAAAGCCACTAATAGCTGTCTGCCTGTATGCCTCGCCGCCTCACTGGGTTAGCATAAACGATGTCCTAACTCATTGTCGTTACTTTGGTTCCGTTAGGCCTTGGAGGGCTTCTAACATCATGTGTGATGAAGAACTAAAGGGCCAGCAGAGATGGCCTTTCAGATGGGGCCCAGCCCGGGACCACGAAGGGGCTATTAGACACTGGGTTTCTCCCACAGCCCCAGCCCTACCTAACTCATTTTCTTTTAACGTGGCAATCTCCCCTTCTATCTTCCTGTGGTGCTGGGACACCAGGAAGAGCCTTTCCTCCAGGCTCACGATGGTCTTTGAGTGCTGCTTGATTTGTTCTTTGTACACCATGATTTCCCCCTCGAAGCCGAGCTTCTGGGATTCGCGCTCATCATGCAGGGTCTTCATTGACTGCTGCTGCAGCCGAAGCCGCTCCTCCAGTGTGGTCTGGGGAACCACAGAGGGAGATGTAACCTCAGGGGCTGGATTAGATGGCAGCAGTCTGCCTCCTTTGCACATACAGGTGCTAACCATATCCTACCTGAGAGCCTCTGCACACATGTTCCTCCAGGCATCCTTCACCCTCCCTGTATGGCTGACTAGTCTGTCTTCCAGGTCTAATTACCTGCTTCAAGGGAACTTCCTGAACATGTGTTCATGGAGCAGTTCAGACACTTTCTATTGTATTTGTTGTCTTCTCCCTGAGACCTTTATCAACACCTGAAGTAGCCTTTGGTTTCTTGTTTCTCTCCCCTGTGAGTCCCTCAACCCCATACAGCAAAAGCCTGGGATTGAATCCGGGTCCTCTGGAAGAACAGCCAGTGCTCTCAACCACTGAGCCATCTCTCCAGCCCCTGCACTGCAATTCTTATCAACTGAAATTACCAACAAAGGCTCTTAGGAAATCATTCACCACCTGTGACCACCCTCCGCTTTCTGACCCCTCCTGATGTGTGCACCCCAGCCCCCTTTGCCTTGCTTTCCTCTGCTCCTGGATATGCTGGATATGGGGCTCCCAGCTCCCCGCAAGCATGGGTGTTTCACAATCTCTCTGGATCCCCAAATTTATTTTATTTGAGACAGGGTCCTAATCAAGTTGCCCTGCTGGTTTTTGAACTCACGCAGCCCAGGCAGACCTTGAATGTATGTTTCTCCTTTCTCAGCCTCCAGAGGAGCTGGGATTACAAGCCTGGCTCACTAGGTCCAGCAAGGTCATCTTTCTCAACAGGGGTGATTTTTTGCCTCTAAAGGACCTTTGGTAGTATCTGTCTCAGTTAGAGGTGGGGAGAATGCTGTTTACTGTCCATAAAGCACAGGACAGTCCCTGAAAAGAAAGGTACCTGGCCCAGAAAGTCAGCAGTGCGGGCTGGGCAAGCCAGGTCTCAACCTCTCCTCCCCACTCTCCTGCTACTATGTCATAGTTATGATTTCTATTGCTGTGATGACACTACCCAAACAAAAGCAACTTGTCCAGGAGAGGGTTCATTTCAGCTTAGCACTCTCAGATCACCCGCCACGGCTGAGGGAAGTCAGGGCAGGAATCTGGAGGCAGGAGCCATGGAAGAGTGCTGCTTACTGGCTTGCTCCCCATGGCTTGCTCAGCCTGCTTCCTTCTAGAACCCAGACCACCAGCCCAGGGGTGGCACTGCCCAAGAGTGAGCATGGCCCTCCACATCAGTCATCAGTCATCAATCAAGAAAATGCACCCCAGACATCCCCACAGGTCAATCTGGTGGGGGCGTTTTCTCACCTGAAGCTCCCTTTTCCCAAACGACTCCAGCTAGAATCAAGTTGATAGAATACTAGCCAGCACGTGCTGCCATCTCCCATGGTGGAAGCTTACCGTTTTCAGAACAACTCACCATTTTTATCTTGGTCATTTTGAGCTCGCCTACTGTTTCATTTAACTTGAGGGAAAGGTTCTCGGCTTTGAGACTCTCGGCTGTCTTCATCTGCTGAGCCTCCTCCACCATGGCCAGGGCAGTATTTAATTTATTATTTAAGATGTCCTCTTTTTGTCCCTTTGAGTCTATCTCCTAGACAAACAGCAAACACCAAGTTAACGTCTGGGGATTAAATATTTACTCTTCTGTCCTTATTTCCCTAGGCCGTTAAAGAGGACACAGACTCCACCATTGATACGTCTTAAGTCCACAGCCCAAGGATTTTCTGGAAGGTTCCAATTACTGCAGAACTCTTTTTTTTTTTTTTTTTTTTTTTTTATCATTAGAGGAGATCTGTCTCCTTGATTTCTGGTCTCTGAGCCCTATTCTGTCACCTGGAGCCCTTGACTCAGTTTTATTTCTCTTTTATGAGACAGCCCTTTAAATATTTGAGGAGGGTTGTCATGTCTCTCTCTAAATTTATTTTCCAGGATAAATGTGCTAAGTGCCTTCACCCTTCACCACACAACCTGCCCTGGAGACTCTCTGTTCCGCACTCCAGGTCCCTGGCCAGAAAGCACCCCAGTTGCCAAGTCTTTGGCATAGCTTATGCCTCCCCTGGAAACCCCTTCATCCATTTTTATCACAATCCTACTGTCCCCGTGGAGACCCTCCTCCAAGGACTGGAGTGTGCTCCTGCCAGGCCCTGTGCTGAGGTCTCAAACATTTTTTTTAAATGTGGATGTGTTTGAGTATACATGGGTGCACATGTGTGTACAGGTACGTGTGTGCACGCACACACTCACACTAGTGTGTGGAAGCCCCAGGGTAACCTCTGGTGTCACGGCTCAGAAATGTGATCTACTGCTTTTGAAACAAGGTTTCTCATTGGACTGGAGCTCACCAATTAGGCTAGTCTAACTGGCCAGCAAGCAAACATCAGGAATCGTTTTGTTTTTGAATCCCAGAGCTTGGTGTGCACAGTACATGCTCTTAACTGCTGAGTCAGCTCCCGTGGCTGGCTTTTTATGTGGTTTCTGGGGATTGAACTCAGGTCATTGTGCTTGCTTGGCAAGCACTGTACCTACTGAGCTGTGACCACAGTCCCATGAAATGTGACCTTGAGACACAGTCCTGGGTGCTTTCACAAGCTGCTATTGCTAGTGTGGGTCAGCTTCTCCTTCCTGGAAGGTCACGAGGGAGCAGGGACTGTGAGGAAGGGTACTGACATCCTGGGGTCCAAGCATCGACACTCACATATAGCACTTTATGCTAAGAATGGAGAGCTGAAAGCCAAGTTGTTTAGCCAAACATCTTTTACTTATTTGTTTACTCATTGTTGTTATCATTGTTTTTTTAGTGACAAAGCTGAAACAACCTGGGCTGGCTTTAAACTCATGAGTTTCTGTTCTTGGCCTCCTGAGTGCTGGGATTACAGGCTTGTGCCACCAATCATTTTCTTTCTCTTTCTTTCTTTCTTTCTTTCTTTCTTTCTTTCTTTCTTTCTTTCTTTCTATTAGAAACAAGCTTGTTTTACATGTCAATCCCAGTTCCCTCTCTCTCCCCTCCTCCCCTGCCCCCCCACCGACCCCCAGCCCACCAATCATCTCCTATACCCATGCAAAGTGGGAAACAACCCCAGTAGAGGGAGGGACCAACAATCCAGGGTCCATCCCACATAGGGCAGATTGAGGACATTCTTCAGTGACAGGCAGTGGGAGGTGGTTCAGTGACATGGAGATGTTTGAGAAATATGTAATGTTATCAAAATAGTTCCCGAAGCAGTAGGCAGCGTGCCACTATCTTGGTAACGAGTCGGCATCACCCACATCTATGATAACAGCACAAAGGCATCCACCCCAGTGAGCATCACATCTGAATGTCAGCCGCGATAGCTCTGCTCCGCAGAAGCAGGGTCAATGTTGAGGCACTTCTGGGAGATTTTCTGTATTTGTCAAATATTCTAGGAGGAGTGGGGCTCCTTTGTGATCAGAAAAGAAAGCAGATGTATTCTGCAAAAAGAAAAATACAAGCCCTACTGTTCCCAGGCTGTCCCTGTACTTCACTGGGATTCACTTCCTGGTCTTTGTCTCAGAGGCTTTGGGAAGAGCTTGACATCACTTTGGTACAGAGGGACTTCAGGGGACAAGTAACCTTGCCTAAGAGGACTTAGATACAGAACTGCTTGACACCTGTGCTCAGTGGATTCCTCCAGGTGTCCCTGAGAACCACCACGTTTGTCTCTGTACTGCACCATGAAGCTGGCCTGTGTGAGGTGAATGCTGCACCATGAAGCTGGCCTGTGTGAGGTGAATGGCTGTCCCCTTTCTTTGCTCCACACCCACAGGTCTGGGAGAGACCCGCTGTCAGCCATCTTTGCTCCACACCCACAGGTCTGGGAGAGACCCGCTGTCAGCCATCTTTGCGTCACATCCATGATACTGTAAAGACCACGTTGGCCATCTTTGCGTCACATCCATCCAACATGACCAGCTAGCTGTAGGTCGTCTTTGCTTCATGGTCATAGGTCTAAAGAAGACTCATTGTCAGCCCTCTTTGCTCCATACCCACTAAGCTGAAGCTATTTTTCGGCTATATTTTCTCTCTTTTATCTGTTTCCTATGTAGATAACATCAACTTTTTCTTTCTTTTCTTTTTAAACAGGGTTTCTCTGTGTAACAACCCTGGCTGTCCTGGAACTCACTCTGCAGACCAGGCTGGCCTCAAACTCAGAAATCCATCTGCCTCTGCAAGTGGCATTCATTTGTGCTTTCATTCCAGGTGTGTGCCACAATGGCCAGTTTGATGTCAACCTTTTGATTGCCCTATTGTGAATATAAATAAGGTTGTGTATAAATAAGTCACTCTAGGTCTGAGTAGTTTTTCGTTTTGTTTTGTTTTGAGTCTCATGTAGCTCAGGCTGGTCTTGAACTCCCTCGGTGGCTAAAGATGACCTTGAAGTCCTGATTCTTCTACCTCTATCTCCCAGTGCTAGGATTGTAGGTGTGTGCCATCAAGCCAGGTTTATGAGCTACTGGGGATGGAACCCTAAGCAAGCACTCTACCAACTGAGCTAAATGCCCTCAAGTAATCTTTCTATTCTGACAGCCTTGGGGTCTTCCCCTTGCATGTATATGCTAGTTTTTTTGTTTTGTTTTGTTTTTGTTTTTTTGTCTTCCTTTTGAAAACAACATCTATTCAGGGGGCTAGAGAGGTAGCTCAGTGGTTAAGAGCACAGCTGCTTTCCCAGGGGGCCCAGGTTCAATTCCCAGTACCCATATGACTTACAACCATCTTAACTCCAGTAATGTTCTCTGCTGGCACCACACACACGCACAGGTAAAACACTCATACACACATAAAAAATAAAGTAACTTTTTTTTTAAAGGAAGAAAAATGTCTGTTCAGGACAGTTATGGTGGTGCCAGTCTATAATTCCAGTTACTTAAAAGGCTGAGAGGCAGGAGGATGGCAGAATTGAAGCCAGCCTAGATTACATAGTGAGTTCAAGGTCAATTTGGGCAAATTAGTGAGAGACCATTTCAAAAATAAAATAAAGTTGGATGTAGCTCAGTGGAAGAGCACCTGGCCAGTGAGTGTGAGGCCCTGGGCTCCATTGCCCAGCAGCATAAAACAAAACAAGCCAGTCTGTGGGTTACCTGCGTGTGTTTCAGTTGGGCCACTGGCTGTCTTTCCATTGAGCTATCTGAATTCCTCAGATGGTTTAGAGATTAACCAGACCTGTGTCTGGCAAGCATTTCCTGCCCAATCTGGGGGCTGCATCTGCATACTGTTTCCTCTCCCGAAAGCTTTTAACTTGTCCAGTTTTGTTTTTGCTTCCTGGGTTTGGGGCTTGAGAAGGGGGTTGTCTGCAGAATCCCCAGAGTCACACAGGGTCTGCTTTGCAGTTGGGTATTCTGTCCTAGTACGTGGTGGGTCCCTTTGGGGTAGGGTGTTACCGCTCCTCCTGATGTGTTTGCTGTCACCTGCCAGTTCTAAAGTTTCCCAGTGACTGCTTTTAGTGTCCTGATCTAAGGCTGCAGCTAGGGATGTTTCTTGTTGTCTTGCAGAATTCTTTTGATGACAGCCCTTTGTGGAAGGCACTCTGTGGGGCCCGCACCTGGAAGGGCTTCGTCTTCCATGTGCTTCCATGTGCTGTGGGCTTGAACCTAGGGTCTTGCACATACTAGGCAAGCACTGTATCTTTGAACTCTATCTTTAGCTCTCTTTTTACTTTTGATTTTGAGATGGGATCTTACCAACTTTTCCAAGCTAGCCTTGAGCTCACTTTGCAGCCCAGACTGGTCCTGAGTAGCTGGGATTTCAGGCTTGCACTAACAGCCCTGTTGAGCTTGTTCTACTTTTGTGTAGTGACTGCACAACCAGCAGGTTTTTCCTTGCTCTGTTACTGCTGGAATAAAATTGCAGTTTATTGATTCATGGTAGACTTTTAAAAAAAGATTTACTTTTATATGTATGGGTATTTTGTCTGCCATTATGTATGTACACTGTTTGTGTGCCTGGTGCCCATGGAAGCCAGAAGAGGGCATTGGATCCCCAGAAACTGTAGTTATGAATGGCTTGAGCTGCCATGCGGGTGGCAGGAATCAAACCCAGGTTCTCTGTAAGAGCAGCCAGTATTCTTAACTGCTGAACCATCTCTTCAGTCCTGATATACATATACATATGTTACGATAAATCTTTCCACCAAAAGCCGCCTGAGCCCCACCACCACATGTGAGCTTTATGCCAGCCGCCTGCCCGAGTTAGGCCCAAATGAATACACAGAAACTTGTATTAGGTACAAAGCTGCTTGGCCAATGACTAGGATTCTCATCTGTTAGCTCAGTCTTAACTATCATAAATCTATATATTTAATAAGACTTATTGGATGCCTTATTGGCGTCTCTCCTTGCCGGTGGATCACATTGTGCTGCTGGAGCAGGAGTGGAGGGGAAAAGAGGGACGCTTCCTGTTTCTCCTTCGCTTAAATATGAGTCTCCTTGCTATGTCACTTCCTGCCTGGATCACACTTCTCTACTATATTTCCCAGAATCCTCTTGACTCCTAGTCCTGCCATGTGAAACAAGCTTGTTCCCTAACTAGAACTAATAAATAAATAAATAATAAAATACACATGATAAAAAAGGTGAAAATACACAGTACATTCCCCATCATACATATGTGTATGCTATGTATATATGTATTTGTATGTATATATTTTAGAGAAGATAAGCTAGTAATGAGACTAATGTTTATATATATATATATATATATATATATATATAAACATTAGTCTCATTACTAGCTTATCTTCTCTAAACAATTTAAATTCTCTTCCTAACCCATCCCTTACTCACTTACCCCACCCCCACCACTTACTGACTCATTCTGCAACATTCCAGGGTGTATTAGACAGCTCCCATGGTCAGTTCTCAGTCTGACTCCAGGACCCCCCCTGAGTTCTTGGGCCTTGCCTTACTTTGCTGGACTCTGCCTCCTCTGGACACCCATCCATCAGCTAAAGCTGCCTATCAGAGTGGGGTCAGAGCAGCTGTACCATCCCCAGGGCTTTGCTGACACTGTTTCTCCTTAGGTGGTGGTGCTCCCAATGCTCCAGAGTCATTGGGTAGCTTGTTGAAAACATAGATTCCAGCCGGCAGAGGTGGTGCACGCCTTTATTCCCAACACTCGGGAGGCAGAGGCAGGTGGATCTCTGTGAGTTCAAGGCCAGGCTGGTCTACAGAGAGAGTTCCAGGACAGCCAGGGCTACACAGTGAAACTTTGTCTCAAAAAACCAAAACCAACCAACCAAACAAACAAACCAGATTCCAGACAATGTGTGGGTGCCTGTGTTTAAAGAAAACCACACAAAATGAAGGCATAGACACCCTTCTTAGACCAGCAGGCCAAAAGATCCTTTCTATACATGTTTACCTATTGAAATTTAATTCACAATTGCTAGATTGGATGTTGCTCACCTACTTTGACTGAAATATTGGTCAAGGTGCGTGTGTGTACACATGTGTGTGAATGTGTCCTTTACATGACAGAGACCCAGGGTGAGTGAATCTCTGCAGTTTGTGAGATGCATGTAGCCACCTCCTCTTCACCCACCATGCTAAGATTGGAGGTCTTAACAGGGACACATCTCAGTTTGCAAGGTGATGGCTGCTATGGCAAGCTCTGCCAGGAAAGGGACATAGAAATGACTGTATGTCCCTTCTCTGTCATCCCTGCCTTACCTTACATAAAGCTAAAGTATAGTGGAAGAAGTAGGTAAGGATGAAGGGTTTGGGAGTTCTGGGTTCGGATCCTGCCAGGAGCCTGTAACAGTCACAGGAGCAGCTGACATTTGCAGCACACACTGTGTGGGTCTATGTGCTATGAGAGCATAAGCTTACAAAAGCGGAGACCCCGAGCCAAGAATCCCGTCCCCTAATAAAGGCTGGCGACCGCCGCCTGGGACGTGTCACCCTATGATTGGCTGCCGCTCATCGGACCATATGACGCCCCGGAAGAGGCAGAGACCAAGGGATGGAAAGGTACCCAGCGCCTGTGCATTAACTTGTTTACATTCGGTGCCTGCCGGATGCAGGCGCCATCTTGTAATGGAGAATGCAGGGACGGCTCCCTACACCAGGAGCCTGTAACAGTCACAGGAGCAGCTGACATTTGCAGCACAGACTGTGTGGGTCTATGTGCTATGATCAATGTCATGTCTCACCACTGAGTGAGACTGGCTGTGTTTCATATGTGGGAGCACCAAGGCCCAGAGACAGTGAGTGACTTTCCTAAAGTCCCACAGCAGAAGGAGGATTTGAACCCTGACTGCCTGGCTGCAGGGCCTGGCAGGTCCGAGGGCACCATGGGCCTCTCATCTGAGAGTCATACCTCTTTTTGCTTGGTCAGGCGGTTCTCCAGGTCCTGTATTCTCCTCTTTTCCTTCTCTAGGGTGTCTCGAATTTTGAGTCTCTCATAGTTGATGCTCTCTGAGACCTGGAAGTCAAACAGGGGTGTGAGGGTGAGAGCAGAGGAAGGGGGTGGCGGTTTGAATAAGAGGCCCCCCCCCAGGCTCATACAGCTGTGGTCTTGTTGGAGGAAGTGTGTCCCTGGGGAGTGGGCTTTAAGGCTTCGAAAGCAAATTCCAGGCTCAGTCTCTTGCTTTCTGCCCTTGGACTGGGATGTGGCTCTCAGCTATGCTCCAGCAACGTGGTGAGTGCTGCCATGGTTCCCCCCACATTGTCCACCCCCACCTCTGCCATGATGATAATGGACTAAAATCTCTGAAACTCAATTAAATGCTTTCTTTTTATAAGAATTGCCTTGGTCATGGTGTCTCTTCATAGCAATAGAACAGTGACTAAGACAGAGGGCAAACTCACTGCAAGGGGACGCCAAGGTGAGTCACCATTGACACTAGTGACTCTGGGTTTGGGACAAGAACTAAGGAACCAGGATGTGAGGTGAGAGGAAATGATGAGGCTGGGTGGGGGGCAGGAAGCCATGTGTCAGTTAGTCACAGAAGCATAAGGGGGGGGGGATCTCCTTGTTCCTGTTCCCAGACTGGCATCAATAAACAACATGGTCACGAGTGCTCTGTCCTGTTACTGGGTGTTGAGCCACTGTCTAACCTGGTAGGTGTTGGCACTAGGACAGGTTCACTCTGGAAAGTCCCTGGCTTTGGGAAGGTGGAGCAGAGTGGCAGGTCTTGGAACAAGTTTCCTATTCCAGCAGCTACAACTCCTGGTAGCTCCAGAGAAGGGCTGTCCATACTTTATGTACAGTGACTTTTGTCCCACAAAGAGATCATTTCAGTTTGCATTTTCCAGAGGCCCTGGAGGGGCCTGAGCTCCAGGGATCCTCCCTGGACAGCTAGTGAGTGGCAGGTGTTGGTCACTTCCTGCAGGGGTGCTGCAGCAGCGTGACCATGGGACTGCAGTGCTGGTAGGCACACATGGCTGGATGTTCTCCAGAGGGCCCTGGCTGCTCCTACCTCCTTCTGCTGGGTCAGCTGATTCTCCAGGTCTTGTGTCTTCCTTCTTTCTGCCTCCAGCACTTCCCGTACTTTTCTTTTCTCATGAGCCACACTGTCTTCCAAGACCTGAAAGGCATGGCCAGTCATACCAGCATCCAAGTTAAGGCTAACAGCTAAGATAGGTGGCTATGTTACCCTTGGGATGACCTCACCCCCATGGTGCTCCTACTGAGGAGCTGCTGCTAGGAGCTCTTTTTATAGACAAGGAAACCAGGGGTCAGAAGAGGTGGGGACCACACTGTCTGTCAACAGGGAGGCCAGGGCCCTGAACAGAGCATACACATAGGCTGTGTGCAGAGGCTCTGGAAGGAGACCAGCGGGCATAGGGGCCCAAGTTCTAAAAGAGAAGAATCCCATTGATGGTGGACTCTCCAACCAGTGAAGCGAATTTCTGAAGGAGATTCGGTGTCAGGAGGATGCAAGTGTGGGGAAGAATGAGCCAGTTGCACCTCCTACAAGGTTCGTGAGCCTTGCAGGGATGGTGCTGTGTGCTGAGACAAGGGAGGAGGTCTGGGCTGGTACTCTGCTGTCCCTAGACACAGGGTTTCATCTGGTCCATTTCTTGCTGTGGTTACTCTGCTAATGGATTCACTGAAGATTCCACCTCCAAAGGAGGGTAGCTATGGTCCTAGGACAGTATCTGAAATCCCCCAAAAAAGTCGCCTCATCGCCTCAGCTTTCACAGGGTCTCCCTCTAAGTCCCAACTGGGCATCAGGTATTTGGAATTTGTAACACGATTTCCACTAGAGTCTATAAGGGGAGGGGATTAGCCTTCAGAAGGCCTTTAACCCACTAGAGGTAGAGGGGAGTTACACTGGTATACCAAGATGGTTTTATGTGGTTCATGCTTGTGATCCTAGTACCTGGAGGTGGCAGAAGGAGGATCAGGGTTTCAAAGGTCATCCTTGGCCATATAGAGAAGTTTGAGGCCAGTTAACAAAGGTTAACAGATCCTTTGTAAAAAAACAAAACAAGACAAAACAAAACAAAACAACAACAACAACAACAACAAAAAACAAAGCACAACTAACAACCAAAAACCAAAACCAAAAACCCAAGAAACAAACAAACAAACAAAACAACCCACTGAAGGTGGCTCAGTTCTTCCTGGGAAGAAACTATGGCCAGGCCTTCTCAGAGGTGCCTGAAGTCTGGTGTAACCAACCCCAGCTCCCCTCTTCATGATAATTAATTTTTTATTTAAGGCAGGCAGGGTCTTATGCTGCAGCCCTGGTTGGTCTGCAACTCTGCATGTAGACCAGGGGCTGGCCTCAAACTCCCAGAGATCCACCTGCCTCTGCTGTCTGAGTAGAGATTAGATGTGCGTCACCACACCCGGCCCAGACGCGTAAACTTTTCTGACTCCCCATCACCTTGGAATCTCTAAATTCAAGGGCCTGGCCAGCCCTTGGTGACTCTTGGAAGGCATCCAGCTGAGGAGATTCCATGGAGACCCACCTGCCACCTCCTGACCCTGCCTGGAGACATGACTCAAAGGCAACCCTTGGTGACACTATTTGCTGAGTGCTGAGGAGCAGCTGTGTGAGAGACTGTACGCAAACATCTCCCCGGGGCACATCAGAGGGAGGGAGATATGTTCTCTCTCGTGGAAGGCAGGCAAGCACTCTACTTGAGTAGGCTGTGTTGTCAGGAATCGCTGGAGGTGTGTGTGAGGGGTGGAAGTAGGGGTGGGGGTGGGTGGAGGCTATGTCCAAGTGCTGGGAGGCCTGGCTGTAGTGATAAAGATACCACAGATCAGTGACACTTTGGGGTCAAACGTTTGGTGGTTCATTATCTCTGGCCTTCATGGCTTCCTTCCAGAAGGGAGGTGTGGATAGACTCAAACTTGCATCTTATATGGCTACAGAGCCCACACCCTTCAGGACTGAGGGATTATCAAAAGCTCATGGGTAGTTTTGTTTTTTTTTAATTTTATTCTTTGCTCTTTGGGGGTCTGTCACCCAGCTCCCAAATATATACAAGGAGACTTACTCTTACTCATAAATGCCCAAACTTAGCTTGGCTTATTTCTAGCCAGCTTTTTTTAAATTGTCCCACCTACCTTTTGCCTCTGGGCTTTTATCTTTCTCTACTTTATACACCTTTCTTTACTTTTTACTCTGTGGCTTGCTGTGTAGCTGGATGGCTGGCCCCGGGAGTCCTCTCCTCCTGTTCTTGCTCCTCTCTCTCCTCCCTTTCTCCTTCTATTTATTCTCTCTGCCTGGCAGCCCCACCTCCCCTCTCCCCTCTGGCTATTGGCCACTCAGCTCTTTACTAGACCAATCAGGTGTTTTAGATAGGCAAAGTAACACAGCTTCACAGAGTTATAACAAATGCAACATAAAAGAATGCCACACATCTTTGCATCGTTAAACAAATGTTCCACAGCATAAACAAATGCAACAGCTAATATTCCGCAACACATAACGTGTAAAAGGATCAGGGGGGTTTGAGACCGACCACAAGCTAAATGCCAACTGACAATGTGACAGGTCTTTCATGTGGGCTAGAGTTTGGGCACAGAAACACAGCCTCTTCCATGAGGAGGGGAAAACCCTTTTCCCAGGCATCTCCCGCTGGAGGATGGAGTTTGGTTTTGGCTACTGTTCTTTAGGAAGAGGACAGGTGATGTATTGCCAACTTCAAAGCTTATGAGAGGGCAGAAGCCTAGAGAACTACCCCCACTGCTGCCTCGGGGATCTATTCCAGCCTCCCCAGCCCCACTTTCTCCAAAGTGGAAATAAGGGCCAGAGTTTTTTGACTTTTCAAGGGAGAACGGAAATCTGGATTTTCAAATATATATTCCGAGTCCAAACCAAAACTTTATTCTAGGCACAACACATCTACAGGCCCTTTCATCCATTGAACTACAGGCCGGTGACTCCTGGAGCATGGAGCAGGTGTGGGAAGGCCATCCAGACCAGGCTCCCAGCCTACTGTGCAAGGCAGGGGACTGGGGTGGAGTGTGGTGTTGGTGGCTGGGAAGGATCTAGGAGCTGGTGCCTGGCTTTTAAACATCTAGACTGCTGGATGGAAGAGGAAGCCTGAGATGGGTTGGTGATGGTCACCCTTTGGCCAGAAAGAGCTTGACTCATCCCAGCCCAAGGAAACTTTCCTGTCAGCTCTGGGCATCCCTCTGCTGGTGCTGGTGCTGAAGATGGGTGAGTTTAGGATGCTGGTGAATTGTTCTCTCAAGATCCTGTCATTGCCTATGGGATGCTTCGGAGCAGACATGTGTGACTGCTGCCCCGACCTGCCTCAGCCTTACTTTATGCTGTCACCCAAGAGACAGAACCTTTGTGCTATAACTTTAGTTGACTTCAAACTCACAGGGATCCTCTCAGCCTCCCAGTGACAGGGTGACGGGCAGGAGGCACCATACTTGGCTCATCATGCTCACATTTTTTTTTTTCTCAACTGGTTGGCAAGGCTGCATCTCCATGGCTCTCTTCCAAACCCTCTATGCTTCTCCCAACTGCAGAGCCCAGGCCAGGACAAACAGCACAGGACAGCACCCCCACGCCCCACCTTCTTCGGTCTCCCACAGTCCCTCCAGGCGGCCTCCCTGAGCTGGGTATACCTCCTTTTGACTGGCCAAGTGGCACTCCAGATCACGGACGCGAGTTTGTGCCTTCTCCAGGGCTTCCTGGGATCTGTGTTTCTCCTGAGCAGTGCTCTCTTCCAAAGCCTGCAAGCCAACAGCTGTTGTTGAGTCCACCTGTTGCCATGGCAGAATGTGGACTCTCCCTGGGCTCTTCCTGGTTTGTCCTTCCATCCTCAGCATGCCTCACCTGGGCCCAGGCAGACGAACCAGTGGCTCAGGGGGCTCCAAAGACAAAGGTCCCTGTGAGAACCTCAGATGGACCCTGACAACTGTAGGCCCTGACTCAACTGTAGGGAGGGCTCAACTCCCCCTCTCCAAGCTGCTTACCTTCTTCTGGGAGACCAAGTGACTTTCCATCTCTCGGGTTCTCCTCTTTTCCCCCTCTAAAGCCTCCTTTGCTTTGTTTCTCTCTTGGGCAATAGTTGTCTCCAGGACCTGCAAGTCAAGGACCCTTGTTAAGACAGACTGGGAAACCGTGGACTCTGCCAGGTTCTCTGTTTGGTCCTTACCACACCCTGAAGAGGGTGTGGGCAGCACAGCCTATGGGCTGGAGCATGGGTTCTGGAGTCAGGCAGGGGACAGGTGAGAACACTGGAGGGAGGCTTTCCAGCTATGGGCCCTGGCAGCTGGGACACTATACATAGAAGCCTCAGTTTCCCTGTCTGTACAATGAGATCAGGACTGGTGCTTCCTGCATCGGGCTGATGTAAGGGGGGGGGGACAAAAAATCAAGGTGAGATTCCTGGCCCCCTGACAGCCACCTGCTTCTATGCTGCAGAGGGGGAAACAGGCTTAGTTAGAGAGATTGGAGATTCAGCCTCATTGACTCTAACGTGTGTTCTAAACCAACCCAAGAAAGGCTTCCTGCTAGCCCCGGGCAGGTGGATGCCCAGGGCTGAAGAAGACTTCTGGGTGGTGGGGCTGAAGATAGATGAGTTTAGGACCAAGGCTAGCAAAAGCTTCTAGACATGCCCCTCCCTGCATGGCTGCTTTGTAAACAAAGTTTTACTGGGACCCTCTATGCCCACTGTTGATGTGTGGTCTACAGCTGCTTTTGTACAAGAGCAGAGCTACCAAGTCACAGCACAGATTGAGAAAGGTAGCCTGCAACGGTGAAAACATTTATTAACTGGCTCTCTGGAGGAAGCTTGCTGACATTGGCCTACAGCAATAAGAAGTGTTCACAAATTAAGAGGGAGCTGTTTAAGGACCATAATAATAATAAAAAAAATGTGCTGGATTGATGACAGAGCCTGGCATTTCTTCTGACACTTAAAAAAGAAGTCCTTGGAGCAGCCAGGATTCATGGGAGGGAGGCTGAGGGATGAGCTAAAATTTGTGTATTTTTAGACACCGAGTGCAGGAGGAAGGGTCACTGAAAAGCCAGGACAGTGAAGGGGAGATGGCTCAGTCTGTCAGAGAAGCATTTGCCTTGCAAGCACAAGGACCTGAGCTGATGCCCAGAGTTCACTTAAAAGTAAGTGTGGTGGTGGTGGGGGGGGCTGGGTAGATGGCACGGCAGGTGATGTGTGCAAGAGAGAGGACCAGAGTTCAGGTCCCCAGCGCCCGCATAAATGCTGGGTGGGTGTGGCAGTGCCTGTCATTACAGTACTCTAAAAGCAGAGGAGAAGGAGCCCCCAACAAACTCAATAGTTAGCTGTATCTGTGAGCTCTGGGCTCAACTGAGGGACCCTGAACTCAATCTATAGGTGCAGTGTGGTCACGGAGGCCTCCGCACGTAAATGTGTGCATGCATTTGGACTCACATGTGCACTTGCGGTCACACACATATGTACACCTCCACATGCATATGATTGCATGCATACCACATACAGGAGCCAGGAATGGTGGCTGGCCCTTATAATCCCAGTCCCGGGCAGAAGGAGACCGGTGGATTCTGGGAGGGAGTCGGCTCACTCAATGGTCAGATAGTCCAGTTCACTTGGCAAGTTCCAGGCCAGGGAGAGACGTTGCCTCAAAAAAACAAGGAGGGACTGGTGGGATAGCTCAGCAAGCCTCTTTAGCCACTGAGCTTAATATTTGGGAGCCACGTGGTGGAAGAAGAGTCCAAATGCCGTAGGGAAGAAAGGAATTACAGTTTGCAGAGAAATGGGTGGCACTGGAAATCACCATGTTAAGTGAAAGAAGCCAGACCCAGAAAGATCAGCATCATGTTCTCTCTCATATGTAGAACTGTGAGGTAGGTCCACCCTTTGGTCGCAGGTTGCATGAGGAGCTATGAATCCAATGCTAGATGATACCTTTATTTTAAGCATACTGAGATTTTTTTTTTTTTGAGATACAATCTTCGATGTATTCTTGGTTGGCCTGGAACTTATTATGTAGACCAGGTTAGCCTCTAGTCCCCCAGAGATTTGCCTGCTTCTGCCTCCCAAGTGCTGGGATATAAGGCATGCTTCACCATGCTGAACCCCATTTCATGTTTTTCCCCCATCTGTGGAATGTTGATTGTAGAGTGTGACATGCAAGCCAAGGGGACTATTTGGGGGAGGACAGGAACTGAGGGGGGACATGCAAGGGTAACGGGGTGAACAGGGTCGAAGTAGAATGTTATATAGTCATGAAAATGTCACAGTGAAACCCACTGTTGTATACACAAAATACCTTTTTTTTTTGTTTGTTTTGAGAATCCTTCTTTCTTTAAGACTTAAAAAAGCCCTCAGGCATTCTGTCACAGCCATAAGAAGGCTGATAAAACAGTGGCCATCACTAATCTTACCTTGACAAGGCTCATACGCAAGTTTTGGCTGTTGCTTCTCCTGTTTTATGTCCTCAACTTCACAAAAGGCAGAAAGGGGGCTAGTGAGATGGTAAAGATGTCTACTGCAAAACCTGGTGACCTGAGTTCAATTCCCAGGACCACATGGTGGAAGGAGGGAACTGATTACCACACAGAGACTTACACATGGTCACATGGACATGTGCGCGCGCGCGCGCGCACACACACACACACACACACACACACACACACACACACACACACACTGAATAACTAAAGAGAAGGAAAGTAAAAGATGGAGGTGGAGGAGACAGATATCCCAAAGGAACTGGATGGGAACAGGAGGTTGGAGAGAGGGGTGGGGAGCGGGTGTGTTTGACAGAGATGGACTGTCCAAGTTGGGAGTCACTGAACTAGAGCCAACAGGAGGTGGCGATACTGTGGAAGGCCTTGTCCTTCACTGAGGAGAGAAGGAGTGCTTGGGAGGAGTTGGGGGCTGGCAGATGGGGGCAGGCGGTCAGGAAGACGGGTACAATGTGCACGGCCCTCCACACCCACTCAGACAGTGATGATCAACCATGGTTGTGCCTTTGAATGTTACCAACCCCAGAGCCTGAGCTATACGCCCACCTTTGTCCTCGGAGCCTAAATGACAAAATATGGCCGAGCAACGAGGTCGTGAGGATAGCAAAGAAGGCAACAGAACATAGGGCAGGTGTCAAGACAGGAGAATGACAACAACTAGCTTTAGAGACACAATGTCCATCTTCTCCACACAGTCTGATACAACAGGTCTTGGGTGTGAGCCCAGACGCTCTAATTTATATCGATTGTGAATAATGGGTTTTGTGATAACATCTAAACACATGTATATAATGTATTTTGGTCGCATTTATCCCCATTGCCGTCTCTTTCCCCTTCCTCGTCTTTGATACCTTTTTTCGTTTCAGGGTATTCCCCATTGTACTTCATACCTTCCCCTCTCTCCCTCTCTCTCCCCCTCCTCATTCTCTTCCTCTCCCCATTTCCCTCATTCCCCCATCTCTCTCTCTTCCCTTTTGTGACTCAATTTATTCCATCGGGGCGGGGGGGGGGGCG